CCTGACAAAAGCGGCAACAGCACCTGTTCCGATAGGCATACCACAACCAACACTTCAACGAACCCCGAATACAAGTTCACGGCAGACTACACGTAGTCCCATCTAAACCTCTTTTCAGCTCAGAGATGAAACCAACCGCAACACCTAGGGCCTATAGGGCTGCGGCATAAACCCTGCGTGAACCGATGAGACCGGTACATGGCATGAAGAAGTAATATAGGGGCCTGAATAATTCGGAAAGGGTTCTGGGGCCCATTTTACTATAACTATAATAAGGCACCCTTGAAATAGTATTGGTAATTATTTAGGCCCCTATGTTAAGTCTCTTGGGCAAGCTGCGAACCCGAAACCGCGTTTCAACTTGAGAGCCCTATGACTCGTACAAGCAGGAAACTATGTGCCCCTACTTGGAGGTTCATGGGTAGTTATAAGTATAGGGACATAAGTCCCCTAATATGGGTTATAAGTATAGATACCCTACTTATAACCCTACTTATAACTACCCATGAACCACCTAAACGTTTCCAAACCCCTAAACCTCGGAACCCCGAAAACACCAAACCCCAACCCAAAACCCTGACCCCTACACCCTATAGATCCCTTCTAGGAACCCTTATAGTACCCCTTTAAGGGAACCCTAAAACCCTTAAAGCCCCATGAAACCCCTGGGAGTTAAGTTCGGGCCGGGTGGCCACCAGCCGACCTGTGGCGGTACAGAAAATGTCGCGGCTTCGCCGAACTTGCCGTAGGCAGTGGAGGACGTCATCTTTGCAGGGGTAGAGTAGGCTGGGGCGGGGTGGGACCTGGTTCCTTCCTATGAAACCTTTGAACCCAGTGGGCCTTGAGCTTATAAGCACACCCTAGCCCCCAAACTTAACCCAAACTCTACACCCGAAATCCAAAGCTCGAAATCCCTAAACCCCTCAATCCTGCAAAATACCTTAAACTACCAAACCCTACTTTTTTGTAGGTTCTTATTACAAACCCTAATAAGGAACTTATAGGGACCCTACAAAAAACTAGGTTTTGGTAGAGTAAGTCTGAACCGCTCTGTCGGACCAGAGATGCCACCTCAGTGAAGCAGGTGATCAGCACCACGCAGGCCGCCCAGATGCAGACAAGGGTATACCTTCCCAGAGACTCCAATATCCCTTAATTCAGGAATATTCCTTAAATCATATAAGGGATCCTACTATAATTTAAGGTATATTCCTTAATTAAGGGGTATTGGAGTCTCTGGGTTCCGAGGCGCCGAGGGCCTTGAAGCCTAAACCTGCGACTTAGAGTAGTGATCTCAGGATTGTGAAGATACCTGGGCCCTAAACCCTAAACCCTTAAACCCTTAAACCTAAACTCTTTCGCTTCTTGTTTAGTCCTACCTATACCTATATATACCTCTCGTGCCTCGGCTCGGCCCGATTTCCAAAGTGACTGTGCTTTCATGATGGAACTGTAGCCTTTAGTTTAGGGTTTAGGGTTTAGGGCTTAGGGTTTAGGGTTCAGGGTTTAGGGTTTTAGGGCTGTGGAACTGTAGGCTTTAGTTTAGGACTCAATGCTCTGTGCTTTGGGATGCAAGGCTCAGCATTAAGGTAGAGGATCTTTTTGAGTTGGGCTCTATAGGGCCCCAAAAAGGCACATAAGAAAAATTAGGATAGGGATATCCCATATAACCCCCCTTATAATGAAGCCCAATAAGGTAGGGATATCCCTACAAAATGCTTATGCTGATGTGCTTTTTGGGCGCCTGACTCTTGGGTCCGGCTTTCAATGGTAAGACATGCCTTACTTCACGGTGAGCTTCTCTACATTGAAACTGGATCCCAAGTCTAAATCGATACGTCGCCCTTCGTAATGAATTTTCACTCTGCGCTGTAGGGTAGTTGAGTGTCGAGGCAAATGCTGCACTGCCCTGACACCAATCGTAAACCTAGCACCCAACTTGAGAAAAGCCAAAATCAAAGCCATGTAAATCAAGACCTTGCAGCCAAAGTGACTCGCTCGCATTGCGCACACCCAGGATGCCAACAAATTCTGTCAGCCGATCGGTGGCATAGAGAAGCCCACGGGTGAAGAAAGAGCCGCGGCGGCGTTTGTCAAAAGACTTTTTGCGCTGCAGCTTCCTGGCTGGAGTGCCGCCTGCCGTTGGACTGTCCGGACCTTAGCCAGCAAGTGCCTTCTTTTGGCGTTGAGAATTCTCCTACTGCTTGGACTTTTCGGAATCGGAAGGACCAGACCGTCATTTCAAGTTCCTTATCCTGGTTGCCGCGCCTCTTGAACTTAGTTTGGGTTCTAGCCGTTTAGGTTTACTTAGCGCGTCATAGGGGGCCCTCAATAAATAGAATAAGGTTTGCGGTGTATGTGACACCATTCGCGGGTCCTGTCCCTAAGGGTCCAAAGGACCCAATAATAAGGTACTTGGGTTTAGGATAGTAGTTATGTAGCTTTACATTTGGGAGAGTATATGATTATCAGGTACTTCTGTTGATGATATAAATCCTTCATTACCTTCAGGACCCTAAACTATGGGAATAATGGCATATTCCGCATTATGGGTAATGCAGGATTTATATCATCAACCGTTGGACCCTTAGGGTGTTGCTGGCTTGGGGTGCATGCCAATCGCCAATCGCAAACTCTCATCAACCCAATACTTGTCAACCCCGAACCATAAACTCCTAGGATGCCCAGTGACCCAGGAATGAAAAGGGCTCCCTTTTTGGTATTGGGCAACTTTATGAGGAACCCGGGATTACCAAAAAGGGAAATAACGGTACTACTGAACATCCTAGACTCCCTGATTGGCGTTAAACTCCAAATCGCCCAAAGTAGGCAACTGCTATGGACTTTAGGACCCAAAATATAGGCACTATAGTCGAAATTATGCTTGGAGCCTTGTGGTCCTCCTGGATCTTGAAACGAAATACGGGGCTTAGATTGATTTACGGTATAAGGTCTAGGGTTTGGGGGGGGGTCTAGAATTTGGGTATGAGACCCCTTAACTCATGATACAACCCGTAAACCCAACAGCAACAAACGCCTACGTGATAGTAATGCCCAAGGATTGCAGGGTATTGCTAGGGCGTTGGAACCACTGTGTTCGGATTGAAGACACCTCGTAGCGTGGGAGCGCTTCGTCGCCGCATGGCAATCCTAAATCTACGGCCTCGGGCTTTCTCTGCCCAAAATTCTGCAATATCGGGGCCTTAATTATGAGCATAGCGTTTTGGGATCTTGCATTATACAAGTATGAGAACTAGCAGGGGTATTAACTATTACTAGTTATTCCGACCCCTATGTTAGTTACGTACTCAGCAACTACAACCCAGAATCCTAGCCTACGCATTGAACTTCATCTTTAAATCCCGGGTCATTGAATATCAAATTTGAAACTTTGGCACCGCGGGATCGGCAATCCTTCTCTTCTTTAGAAGGCGGATCGTGGAGTGGCGACCCTCGCGGCTTTGCTATGTTCAGTCTCCGGTTTGATGAAGGAGATTCTGATGGCTGAGTCGGCCGTTCGGTGTCAAGCAGCAGGTTTGAGGGGGGGCCCTGCACCGTTCTTGCTTCCCTGGCCGAGGGTTTCCGGCTTGAGGCTATACAACTTTAGATCGTCTTCATGGCATGAACCCTAAACCCTAAACCTTAAACCCTAAACCTTAAACCCTAAACCTTAAACTCTAAACCTTAAACCCTAAACCTTAAACCTTAAGCCCTAAACCTTAAACCCGAAATCCTAAACTGGATGGGACTCCTCGAGCTGCAGTGTTGGGCTTAGGATTTTGGGAATAGGCTCCATAGTAGTTCCTTGTTGGGTGTTCATATGTAGAATCCTATAAGGAAATCCCCCAAAAGGAACTACTATGGAGCCCTAGGGTGGGGCTTAGTTTCGGCGTCGCCGTCCACGGCTGCCTTCCTTGAGCCAAATGCTGTATTCAAGCTACAGCCTGAAACCCCATGTAATGGGAGAACGCTCCGGTGGTCAGAAATCAGGACCAGAAGAAAAGTCTTGGTTCCAGTTCCTTCGGGGTTCAGGTCTTAGGTCTTCTGGTTCACTCTCTTTCAACTGCAAGACTTCTCGAGATAAAATACCGGCCTACAGGCGTCTCGGAACCTATACCATATTTACTAAGTTACTCTCCGCCCCACGTGTTTGTCTTCCTTGGGTTTGGGGTCTAAGTTGTTCTTTGGCACGGGAGAGCGGGGGTGTCAAGGGTTTAACGGCTTTGTCTGTTAATTTCAAAGTGGGGTGGGGGGAGCGGTCGAATAACAGACAGGGTTCCCTGTGTGGTGCTTTGTTAACATGAGCTTTGTGGTCCAGGAGACCATGTGGAAGAATTGACCAAAAATCAGAGTTAGTTCAGGTTTAGTTACTTGGGGTTTAGGGCTGATCAACAAGACAACTCAGCAACTCGATAACGCCTCATGCCTGGCACTCTTGTACTTTATATTGATCTTTCTCTTCTTGTCCTTTCATTCGCAAGCAGACAAACAGCTAAAGTCAATCCATGGGAACATAGCCCGGAGACCTATAAGTAAGACAGGGTTACCAACTAGAATAGGAAGTTTGGACGTGTTATTGTTGTACAGCAATAGGTGTTGCCATATTTTCAACCCGAGTACTAGGATGCCCAGTATACCTAGCAATAAAAAGGGCTCCGTAAGGAACCTAGGACTACAAAAAGGGAATAAGGGTACTACTGGGCATCCTAGATTACAAGCCGTGGACCTGATTAGTGGTGATTAGTTTGTAACCCCCTCAACCCTAAACTCTGAACCCTCAGCCCTGGCAACCGGCTCGTTTTGGATGTCTTTGTCGTCGTCGTAGTCGGAGCAGGAGTGAGAGTCGGAACGGCAGCAAGCAGCAGCAGCAGTTGGTGACAGTCACACCTGCAGTTGTTGCTGGTGTGGCTTTCGTTGTTGTAGCAGCGGTCGTCTATCATACGTGCCGGTCCCACGTTTTGAGAATTTCGGCAGGTCTCCTGGCGCCGACTCCGATCACGTCACTTGCGCTGAGCCAACTTCAGAATCGTTTCGCGCATTCGACTTCGCATGGCCGTAGCTTGGCCTCAGATGCCCAAGGAGCCCAATATTACAGATATAGAAGTCACAATGGAACTCCTCTTGTAGGTCCGGCTGTACATTGTTGATCATAGTCCATGTAAACCCCACGGAAAAAACTTGTTTCCCTGGGGCTATGTCGCGTGAACTTTCAAGCAGAAGTCTCAACACTCATAAGACCTGTAGTCTCGACTCTTGATTCCTTTTTGCGGCCACCTATAGGACCCTAAATACAAATCCAAACCTGACTTGGGTTAAGCGGTTTAACACCCAAAATAGGAAACCCCTAAACCCTAAACCCCTAAACCCTAAAACCCGAAACCCCTAAACCCTACTGCAGGGAGAGATGGAAGATAAAAGGGACCTGGTAACCAGGCCAGGCTTTGACTAAGGTCGTCATTGTCATACCTATGTCAAAGGGAAAAGGAGCGACCCTTAAGTGGGGACCCCTACCCTGTAATGGGCTATAACTTCGTATATAAAAGCTATATTAAGGGTACCTACCTAGGGGTCCTTATTAGGTCCCTCCTTTTCCCCTTGGACTATGGCTCCGGTTACCCCAAGCTCCAGGGTTTAGTGTTTAGGGGTTTAAGGGTTTAGGGGCTTCAGGGCTTGGGCTTTAGAGGTTTAGGGTTTAGGGTTTAGGGTTTAGGGTTTAGGGTTTAGGGTTTAGGGTTTAGGGTTTAGGGTTTAGAGGTTTAGGGTTTACCTGGTTAGTACAGCCCACTATTCAGGTAACTGGAGCGCTGCGATAGGTACGCTAGTCGGAATTGATCCCTTCGAAATTTCACCAAGCGCAAACATGCGCTGACACCGGAAACCTGTACGCAGAAGTTAAACCAGGCAAACCCTGAACCCCTAAAGTCGTAACTCTACAAATCTAAAGCTCTTAAACCTTAACTCCCCAAGACCTACACCCAAAACTCCAAAACCCTAAGCCCTAAACCCTCGCAGCCTGGACCCAAAACCCCAAAACCTCAGAGACTCTAAGCTCCCTTAATCAAGGAATATAATGACCTTAAATTGTAGTGGGATCCCTAACATGATTTACGAAATATTCCTTAACTCACTGGCCCAAAACCCAAGGGAATGAAAGTTGAGGCTTTCAGAATCGACTACCTTATAAGATCCCCAAAAGTTGAAAAGTTGAGTTCACAGCCAATAAGTTAATTAAGGGATGTTGCAGTCTTTGGGACCCTCAAACCTCGAACCTGTGATCCGGTGCTGCAGAGCTGCCCTGGGACACGTCGGCCGGATCTTGCCCACGCGCCAAGGCTTCCGCAAACAGCCTGCTGCTGAGGTTTGGTTTAGGTCTTATTAGGTGTGTATATGTATGCATATATGTATATGAACTCAAATGTGTATATATGTATACACACACATATATATATATATGTAGAGAGCGAAGGAGAGAGACAGAGAAAGAGTAGCAGGGCTAGTTGCTTGAGGGTTCAGAGGACGTTTGCATTTAACAGCAAACCCGTAATCCCTTACACCCTAAGCCCCGAAGCGTAGCCACAGAAGCCTACACAGCGAAAACTAGGTGCCCCAAGACGACGCAACCCTGAATGCCGTAGGCTGCTGGCCTAAGCCGTATGTAAACCCTTGTGCGACTCTATGAAGCCGCTCCGTGAAACCCTAAACCTTGGTGCGACCCAAACCCTATAAAGCATCCTACACCCTAATCCCCAAACCATCCCGAACCCTAAACCATCCTAAACCCTAAACCCTAAATCATCCCAAACCCTAAACCATCCTAAACCCTACACATCCCTACACCATCCTAAGCCGTTAACCCTTATCATACAGCCTTAACCACTTTTTCCCGCAGCCCAGCAGCAAGGAAAAGACTCCACAGTCGCAAGCATTTCCTTGCCTCGGCCAGGGGGACTTCGAAATGAAAAGATTGAGGGTTTAGGGTTTAGGGTTCAGGGTTAGGGTTGAAGTGTTTAAGCTTATACGGCTTGTAGACTTTAAGGGGTTTGAAGTCTGTATAGGCCAAATATTAGGAAAAAACCTCAGCTTCGAAACTTGGCTTGGATCCCCAAAAAGCTCAATCGCTGGACGGTCTGCTAGAAGCCTGGACCCGTCAGACCGATGCGGCCAACACCCCTTGAGGGTTTGGGGGAGTTTAGGGTTTAGGGGCTTGAAGGAAACATATACCTGTTTTAAAGAATACCTAGGGTTCCTTTATGGGATCTATATATAGGGTTTAGGGTTAAGGGGAGTTTGCCTATAGTCTCCATTGTAGTTCCTTTTTTGGTTATCCAGTTTTATGGTTAGGATCCTATAATAGAGATGTTGGTTACCCCAAAAAAGGGAACTACAACGGAGACTCTCGGTGGGGTTTAGGGGCTTGAAGGAAAACCCCACAATCCAGTCCAACACGCCTCGAGATTAAGCAACACACATAAAATCGACGTGGAAGTCCTATTCTGTCTCAACGATTCCCTAAACCGCGTCTTAAGCGCTCCTTATTGTGCCCTAAAACCTGTGGTTCTCTTTGGGTCTTGTAAGTATTCTTCAACTGCGGGGTGGCAGGCCTAACCCCTAACCCCTTAACCGTGGAGCCCTTAACTACAAACAACAAGCCCTACACCTTAAACCCCACACCCTCCACCTGAAAGCCTGAAGCCTCAAACACTGATCCCCGAAACCCTAAAGCCACAAGCCCTGAAAGCCTGCAAAACTGACACCCTAATCCCTACAACCCTATAAACCTGAGACCCTGTACGTTGCAGGCTTTAGGGTGGGTTTATAACCCAAAAGCCTTCTATCCGAAAACCCTGAACCCTAAGACACTAAACCCCATAACCCCTAAAAACCCTGAACTCTATGGGCCAAAAGCCTATAAGCCTCAAGCCTAAACCCTGCAACCCAAAAGGTACCCATCAAGGGTCCCTCTTTTTCCCCTTTGAGTAAACTCTGTGATCGAAACCAATAGACCCTATAATCCCAAAGCTCTATAGCCTAAAACCCTAAAGCCCGATAGCCCAAAACCCTAAACCCTGAAACCCTATAACCCTAAACCCCCGTAATATAGGGGGCCTTAACAATGAGGATAGGGCTTTGTGCCTATACTACATCCTTACAGTATCCCTTATAGACCCCTTTTAAAGGAGCCCTAGGGCAACTATTAGTTTTAGCCGCTACATTACCTATAGTCTCCATTGTAGTTCCTTTTTTTGGTTATCCAGTTTTATGGTTAGGATCCTATGATATAGATCTGGTTCACCAAGAAAAGGAACCACAACGGAGACTATAGGGTTTAGGGCTTAGGGCCTAAACCCTAAACCCTAAACCCACCCTGAAACCCTAAACCCTAAACGCACCCTGAAACCCTTGACTCTCTTTGAAGCTGTCAGCAGCCAAGAGACTTACCGGCTTCTCGCTGGCGCAGTCCGCGAAACCTCCGAGGAAACCCCGGCAGGGGGGCGGGTGGTGGGGGGTGGTGGGGGGTGGTGGGGGGTGGTGGGGGGTGGTGGGTGGTGGGGGGTGGTGGGGGGTGGTGGGGGGGGGTGGGGGGTGGTGGGTGGGTGGGTGGTGTGGGGGGTGGTGGGGGGTGGTGGGGGGGGGTGGGGGGGGGGGGTGGGGTGGGGGGTGGTGGGGGGTGGTGGGGGGTGGTGGGGGGTGGTGGGGGGTGGTGGGGGGTGGTGGCGGGGTGTCTTTAAAGGTTGCCTTTGCGTTTAGGGTTTTCTTTTGTCTTTTGGAGGGCCACTTTTTGAGTCCGGGTTATGGTGTGGTTAGGCCGTTTCAGGGTAGATTAAGCATTCCTTTTATGTATGGGTCCGCTCGAGGGTTCTGTCGCGGTTTTGGGCTTGGTTGACGTCTCAGGGCGTAGGCTAATCGGGCCTCAAGGCTGCAGTTGCCAAATGTTGTCTGATTACTACAGTGAACTGAAGAAGGAAAAGCTATAAGTACATACACACGTAAATAAATGAACCTCACACATGCACATTTATCTATCTCTCTGTCTATCTATCTCTCTAGATAAGAAGGCTTCGGCGCCTTCCACCCATACCCAGGGAAATCCGCTTGGCCAGCACACCGGCTTGACCGAGGTTGCTGCTGCCTTGGGCTTAGGGGCTGGGAGAAGGTAGGAGCTCAAGGATGGGAGTGTTAAATTTCGTCGCTACGGGTTTAAGGCTCGGGGTTGCAGGATCCTCGACATTCAAGGTTCCAGGAGGGGATTAGGGTGTAGGATGCGCAGGTGTTGGGACGTCGGGCGTGAGAGCTGAGATGGTGGTGCTGCAAGCCCTACGCAGCACCTGTCCAAGCCCTTCAACAAAACAAAAATCCCATCGCAGCTCTACCAACCGCTCTAAAGTCCCTGTAAACGCATAAACACGTCTCACCTGCAACCCTAAACCCTAGACCCCATACAAGGCCTCAACTGAGCCGCAAGCCCATGGAGTCGTAGTAGGCGCCATGGATGTCCTGCAGGAAAAAGTGGGGGTTGTGAGGGTTTCGTTGCTACTTGCCTTTCAAGATGCCGGGTTTTGACCGTTGATGGCAGCGTTTACGGTCCAACTGCCGCTGCAGTGTACTAGCCTTTCAATGTTTCATGTTCCCAGAGATATCGAAACCTTAGAGTCTTCAGAATTGTTGTGGTTATTGTCCTTGTCATTCATCCATCGTTTCTACTAATGCCACTAAGCTGTTATACAATTGCAATAGTACTACCACTACCACTACCACCACGGCCGGCTACGGCTACTGCCGCGGCCACCGCCACTAGTAACACGCAATAAGTACCCATTATAAGGTTACAAAAGTATAGTTCGGCGGGGGGGGGGGGGGGGGATCTATGCCGGGGTACGAATCTTAGGAGGTCTGCTTGGGTGTCAGGTTTAGATCTGAGGGCTAAGGATTGGGGAGTAGGGTTAAGGGATGCTATGGGTCACGGGGTTCTTTTATTTAGGCGTCCAGGGCTTTGAATGGACAGGAAGGCTTTTGGGTGAAAAGGGTTTAGTGCACCGCGAGCTTTTGTAGAACACGTGATATGACAGAGCGTGGGTATCGGCAAAGAGGTTCGGGTTTTTTGACTTGAGAATCTGGCATAGGTTGTTTGACTTTGCGTCTACAGTCGGACGCAATCTTCAATCCTGACCCCGAACAGCCAACCTTATAAGCCCTGAGAAGCAATCCCATTCAAAGCCTGGTTTGGGGACTAGTGGTAACTCTCAACCCTCTATTGAAATGACCCTGTTAAGGCATCATTTTCCTTCCTAGCTTGCAAACCATCGTCCCATTACGATTTTAATTTTCCTTACCATTACGATTATGAATACAATAATGGTTAAGGGCACTATGATTCTGATCATGTGCTGAATTCACAGTCACAAACCCAACAACCTCCCCCGCTTCGACAAAGAATCCTTGTCTGGTAGTTTTTCATTGCCAATGACAATTCTCTGCAGTTGTGGAATCCCTGGCTCTGCCGCCGACGCGTCCTCCCTAAACTTCAAATGAACCCCAAACCCTAAACCCCTATAAACCCAAACCGTGAGACCGGGACACCTCCCCATCACGGGACAAGGCAAGAAGCGCCCAGTGAGTGCCTTGATACAGGCTCTCTCCTCTGTCCTGGAAGAAGGAGGGTTTTGGGTTTTGGGTTTAGGGTTTTGGGTTTAGGGTTTAGGGTTTAGGGTTTTGGGTTTAAGGGAATCGTTCGGCACCGGTTTAGCGGATTGTTTTGGGGATTAGGGTTTGGGTTCGGGGGTTAGGGTCTAGTGGTGACTCCTTCCCTGAGGTTCACGTCCTGAGCTGCGCTGTAAAACCCGGACTATGTGAGGGTTAGGCATGGATGAGTTCCGGGAAACTTCGGAAGTAGGTTACAAGTAGAGATCTAAGCAGCACAGCCACAATCAGCACAGTACAACTTACGGGTTCTTCGTAGCCGATGAACGAACGAATGTAGTATAAGTGGCTACAGCAGGAACCTGCATAGGAGTTGCCGAATGATTACAGTTAGGTGCCGTTCTCATCGCCAGAACCAAGAAGTAACCTCAACATAAACCCCACAAATCGATAGCCTCACCTGATGAGCAAGCGTCAAACGGCAGCTGCTATATAAACTTGCGGCAGAAGGTCCGTCCGATCGCTGATGGGTACGAGGACCACTTTCCTGAGACCAAGCTTAGGGTTTAGAGTTTGGGCTGCAGGGTTTACGGTTTAGGGAGGCTTAAGGTGGTTTAAGCTTGATGTAATGACTAGTACTACCACTCCGTCAACCCGCCTTCTACTTACTGCGGCCCCTACATACAGGTAGGCTCCCTCGTAAAACAATCCAAAGGGGAGGAAGTGCACGAGTATATAATGATACATGCCGTTGCATTCATTCATTGTATGTAATACTTGCCAAGTCCCCTAACCTTTCAAGCAGCATACGAGATCTCGTGGTGCCATGGATTGCAACTTCGAGATTAAGCAAGGTTCAGAAATTGCTTAAGGTGCAGGCTGTGAGGACCTCACCAGCACCTTGAATATGGCCTTTCATGACGGAACCTTACCAGACTACTTCCAAACCGAAAATCCCCAAAACCTTAAACTCTAAGTTCTGAGAAATACATCTTGCAGCCTTTTAGCTCTCAGCCCTGCGCCCCATGCTTTGAAGCCTACCTTAACCCTAAATAACCTACGCTTTTCGGGTTCTCTATATTATGAGTTCCTTTTACAATGCATTGACAAGGTAGGTTATTCCGGATCATATGCCCCAAACCCTAAGGCGCTGTGTTCGAGATCCAAAGGCACAAAGGGTTTAGGAGAAATAAGGTTTAAGGGCATAGGGTTTAAGGGTTTGGGGTTATTTAAGGGTTTAGCGGTTTAAGCGTATAGGGTTGAAGGGTTTAGGGGTTTAGGGTATAGTGTTCAAGGGTTTAGGGTTTAAGGGTATAGGGTTTAAGGGTATAGGGCTTAAGGGTTGATAGGGTTTAAGGGTATAGGGTTTTAGGGTTTAGGGGTTTCGGGGTGTAGGGTCTTGGGGTGTCGCCTCCGTAAGACAATGGAAACCGCAACCAGCTTCCGACTACGTACCCCAAATCTGAAACCCCCAAACACTTTGAACCCAAACCTTAAATCCTAATCCGACAGAAGTTACGGTATGGGAGTTTCCGAAAATTAGGGGTACCTTATTTTGGGGTCCTTATAATAAGGATCGTACCATTTAGGGAACTATATTAGCATCCCCAAGGTTCGGAAACTCCCGCATGGGAGGGACCCACATCCTGAAGCCGAATACACCATGCATAAAGCCGAAGCTCGGATCCCCGAATATTATACTCACTGGCCCAAAACCCAAGGGAATGAGAGTTGAACTTTCAGAATCGACTACCTTATAAGAACCCCAAAAGTTCAAAAGTTGAGTTTACAGCCATAAGTATAGGGACCCCACAACCCACCTAAACATCAGGATCTCACACTTATGGCTTTAATGGTCTCCCCACTTACACGCCCCTTGGACCCTTACGTTTTGGTATTTTAACTTGGGGACAATCAAAAAAATGGGACCCCTTGAGAAGCACTCCCCAAAGGGTCCTTTGTACTGTTATGGGGGGATACTTCCCTAAGTCATAATTGTCATTCCTAGTATGGAAACCCTACATTCTACTTTATCGGTACATAGGACCCTTTGGGCTCCTGAATTGCAGGCTGGATTTCTTACTCGCCGCCTCCAAGTTCGTCAGCGCCTGGCTTCGTTTCTACGGCTTCGCTCTCAGAGCTCTACTTGTTTTGCGTTTAGGACCTTCGGAATTAAGGGTTTTGGGGTTTAGGGGGTTAAGGGTTTAGGGTCTGTGTGACTTCGGGATTAGGGTTAGGGCAAGAACACCTCGGAACCAGGAAAACATGACCGTCGCATGCACTAGCTTTTGTCGCTCTATTGCCCTTTTGTGTGTTCGACTCTTGTTTGGCTTCCTGGGGCTGGTGGCGGGAGATAAGTCAACTTCGGCTGCAAAGGAAAACTCGACAAGCCGAGCCTCTAGCACGTCCTCTTCGTCCTCTTCTGTGGCCATCCTTGGGTTTGTACAGTTTATAGGGTTTATCTACGGCCAAGGGTGGTTTGCCGTTTCAGGGGTTTGGGTCTTGGGCTGTGGGGTCGTACTGCTGGTGCAGACAATCTCGAATAGTCCATGAAACGCAACATGCCACAATTCCCTTGCGTAAACTAAGATAATGCAGTGTCCACCAGCAGTAATTATAAGCCGGAATTGTATTTCTAACATAATATGCTTAACATATAGGGGCAAATCCAGACTAATTAGGGCTCTTGACTATATGATGGTACACACTATACTTTTATCCTAAGGAACTTGATGGGAACATAGCATTAGCCCTGTGTAAAAAGCACAGAGAAAAAGATTGATCATCCCTACGACCATGGGGCACACACTGCGAGTGGAGGCATCGCGGTTTTGGACAGCTTTGGGACGCAGGCCGCTGGACTTGTGTTTGTATGTTTTTGGATTTTTACCGTTTGGGTGTGTATATATATATACACATGTATACTTTATTTGTGTATTCATTTAGTTTTGTATTTTCTTTATCCATTTTTCTACACAGGTTCACATACTGACGGTGAACATCTGAACTCCAGAGCCCGAAATGCAAAGCTCTCCGACATGCCAGGGCAGTCAAGTCTCCAGTTGCCCGAAGCAGCGTCCACGATGAGGACGTCCGGATTGCCCAAACCGTCCGGAGCTGGAGCGGTGCTCAGGTATTCCTTAGGAGGAGGGCAGTGGCTGGGGGCTTAGAGTGTCCCTAAGGGTCCTAGGTAATGTTATGGGGAATACTTCTCAAATCATAATACTAATTACTAGTATATAAACTTAACCCTACATTCTACTATATTGGCGCTTTGGACCCTTTGGGTGTAGTGTCGGGTGCTTAAGCACATCTCCGTCTAGCAGCAATTATAATACCAAGAACGCATTGTGCGGGCTTTGTGGGGAGACTGTTGCTGTGAGAGGGATTGGCCCGTGCTACTGACGAAGTATCTATATATAGCTCAACTCGTGTTATCAAGAGATCGAAAAAACCTGAAAGCCCTTGTCTTAATTCTACGTCGTGGTCACCGGTCTCGGTGTCTCCCTTTTGCAACATGGACAAAGCTGAAGCTTACAGCAAGCTCCGAAGCCTTCACGCATGAGGATTAAAGCCGACGGTGCAGACAGACATACGCAACCGAAGACCCCCGAGCCCGTATGTGCTGTACATGTCATAGGCCTCGAACCCTGAGACATACGGTTGATGATATAAATCCTGCATGACCCATAATAAGGAATATGCCATAATTCCCATATATTCCTTATTATGGGTAATGCAGGATTTATATCATCAACCGTACCATAGGGAATGGGGCGGGATGTGCATAGTTAGCTATTTCTCCCCGCATGGTTACACCGCAACAAAACCTTCCCCAGAACCACATTGTTGTTTCAAGGCACCTATATTCCATCCAACAGCTTCAGATGCAAAGCCGCTCTTGAACTTATACTTATTGAAGCCGCTTTCATCCTGCCATGTTTGACCTGAGGATTAATGGTTGGGGGCTTACGGTTCCGGGTGTGTCGCTTGGAACTTACGTTTGTGGCGTCCATAAGGCCATGCAACAGTTATGGCCTTGATGGAATCTCCTCCTCCAACTAACTAGCCCAGACCTGCCAACATCCCCTAATTAAGGAATATACATCACATGCTGGTCGGATCCCTAATACAAACAAAAAGGTATATTCTTAATCGAAGGAAGATTGGAATGGCTGGGAGGCCCTAAACCCTAAACCCTAAGCCAGACGAGACTCTGTCCAGAAGCCGATCACGGCATCCTCGTTAGGGGCTTCGCTCGCAAAAGTGTGAAGATTCGGCTTAGGGTTTAGGGTTTAGGGTTCTGGGGGCCAGACACCTAACCCCCCAAAGGTCCTAGGTACTGTTATGGGGGATATGTTTCCCCAAATCATAAGAGTAATTCCTGATTTAGAAACCCCACATTCTACTATAGGGGTACTTTGGACCCTTAGGGACCTAAATCCTAAACCTTACATGTGCTATGCCCTAAGCCCTAAACCGAGCCACGAAAGTTCACAGCTTAGAGATTTCTTATTCAGAGTTCCAGGGTGTGATTTCAGCCAAGTTGGGCTTCAAAGTCTTTGGGCTTGGGGCTTTGAGGGTAATGTTCTGCATTGGGTTGGGAACCTGACTGAAAGGATGCTTTAGGGTTTAGGGTTTAGGGTCCTGAAATCCTAGTCGTCTGTGCCACAAGAGAATGGTAGGCTTTGAATCCTTCACACTCTTAACCTAATGGAGACGATGCCTTTATCGCAGTATATACTGGTCGACATCCCTGATCTAGGGGCCTTAATAATGAGAATAGGGTTTTGGGGGTGCATCATCCTGTCATTATAATAAGGAACCCCCCAGAATAGTATAGGTAATTCTTAAGGCCCCTATATTACAAACTCAGCCCCTGAACCCAACTTCCGGAACCCTAAAACCCGTGAAACGCATCAACTTCCCAGACCACCCGGGAGGATCCAAAAAGTAGATCCCTCAATGGTGGTTCCGGTTGTGACCCAGCTGCATTCAACCAGTTGCCCGAGTCCAACCTCGGATAACCGGAGCGGTTCTTGGCAATTCTCTTAGGCAAATATGCTCTCAAATCCATGTCGGCATCTAGAGTTGACGGCTGTCAATAAACCCTAGACCTTAAACCCTGAAAAGCCCAAACCCGGAAGCCCTAAACCTGAATGTTTGGGCCCTTTGAGACTCGAGCCGTGACGTTGACTAGGAGCCTGCATGGTTAGGCTGTTCTATGGTTTTGGGATATGCTAGGGTTTAGGGTCCAGGGCTTGGGGACATTATATGGCTTTAGGGAAACCTGGGGAGCCCGAAGGAATAGAACGTTATGGTTTTGGGGTATGCTTGACTACCAAGACATAATATAGAGACTGTCCTGAAAAGCATAAACGGGGCATCAGCACTGAACCTTCATACTCCACCGTTGCACATGCTAAGGTGAGGCCAGAATTCCCTAGGGAGGGTCCCCCAACTAGACGAAAAATCTGAGCCAAAGAAGCAATTCTGCTGCAATATGGCGACCACTATTTCTTCCTTATAGGGTTCTTTATTATAGTTATGCTAGATGATACGCCAAAACCTTATTATTCCCTTTGCGGCCCCTTATTTCTTGATCGAACCCCCTTACCCCACACCAAGAAAACACAAACACACAACAAATAAGAGAACTCGAAGCCCAAGCCTACAGCGAAACTCTGTAATTAAACCCCGTTCAAAAAGCCAGGCAGCATCCTTGAACCCCAACACCAAGTCTTCCGAAGCCGTAATCCTCGCAGCCGTGCATAAACGAACCCAGTAGCAGAGCCAGGTCAGCGCGCGTCACGCGCGCAGACTTCCAACTGACCAGCGCCATGGCAAGTGGCGAGAGGAAGCGCCGGAGGCGGAAAGCAGGGATTCGGGGGTTGGTCTATAAGACAGGGTCGATGACTAGCTTTGAGTTAACGTGGGGTTTGGATGGAACCCCGAGGGGTGTAGAATGTTTAGGAGGTTTGCTTGAGCTTAACGAGGGTTTCAGCGTGCGCTTTTGCCGGCCATCGAGGGTTCAGGGTTTAGGCTCTCGTTCCATGGTCACTGCAGGACTCCGGTATAGGCTCCGGGTCAGTTTAGGGTTCATCTTCATGGTTTAGAATAGGAATCTCTTTAAAGTTGTCCATAAAGGTTACTATAAGGGATCTAGAAGGGTAGTAATAATGTCGGGGCCTTATTTCGGGTTTTAGTTGTCCGATGACCTCTGCGGAATTGAACTCGGCACTACTTCTGCGACGGCTACACGTATATACCTATTGGCAGATGTCCGTCGTTCCATAAGCCCTGAACCCGAATCGGAAAATTATTGCAGCACAAATGCCTGCCAAATCTGATCGACTGAACGGCTGCAAGGCGTGTCGCTACTACTCTTGACCTGAGGGTCCAGATAACGCTTGAGACTTAGCAATTAGCACAGACAGTTTGGGGGTCTAGTATACTCTGCTTGGAGCCGCAAGGCATAGTATTGGTAAGGCAAGGAATATCATTAGTAAACATATTCAAGCTTCTATATTACACAAACAGAGAGTGAGCGGACTCGTACATTGCTGAAAACCAAATTTCAGAGTTTTGGGCTAGATGCTTGTACCAGGTATGAGATTCTCCGCAGAGGCTCCAAATCCCCTGATCGAGCCATCCTCCATGACTTCTACCAGACCCTACCTGAACCCTATGATTAACTCCTCTTTAGGGTTCCTGTCATGCTTTCCTCAAATGTGTCCTAGGCCTAGTATGTTATTTGGCGTCCAGGTAGATGCAGACCCTAACCTTAAAGGCTCAAAACCCTAGGCATCAAACCCGAAACCATAAACCCTAACGCCCGTATGGCTGTGGAGTCCGGTTGTCTGAATTGTAAAATTAAAGTCTCTGTGGCCAGTCTCAGTGGAAGCTGCCATAAGCACCGCGTAAAGTTAGGGTTTGGGGTTTATGGTTTCAGGCAGTACTGTACAAGATTAAGGTAAGCCCTTTGGACTTTGAAGATCTCCCCGGCGATCGCTCAGTGTGCTGCGCGACGTCTCGGCTTAAGAAAGTTACTACTGTGGCAAGTTTTAGGTGGTACTTATGTAGGTTAGTATCTGGGAGAGTACATGATGCTTCGGCCCCTGGACCCTCCGGGCTTTGGGTGATCTTGACACAAAGGATCTCACCATTTCGGGTGCAAATTTGGGGGCTAAAGTTCCTGCGACTCCTAACGAAGTTATGTGGTATTCGGCCACCTACAACACCAAAAACAACAAACACCAAAACCCGAAACTTGAAAGGGTTTGGGTTAAGTCCTGAAGTAAACCTCAAACCCTAAACCCCAAGCGATGCAAACTTGGACACATCAGACGTAATTAAGCTCATGCCAGCACCGCCCACCACCGCGGTCGGTAGCTGCAAGGCACGGCCCCTACTCTCGTCCTCGGGAAGTCACGAGAAGTGAACTCCAAGAGTCTAGAGCCTGGGTTTCTGTAGGGCCTTACGTACTTTACCATGGGGCTCAAACAGAGGGTTGTGGGGCTGAAAGGCTCGTTGCGTTTTGTCTTCCAAGGTGTGGACTTTAGGAACTTAGTGTTCGGAGCTTGGGCTTCAAGTTGGTTTAGGGCTCAGAGATTAAGGCTTGCGGTTTTTTAGGGCATCATCATCATGTCGTCCTGTTGATTCAGCGATGACGAAACTAAGAATGTTGGGATTGCAAAGAGCTTGTCAGCACCGGCCCATGGCTGACTGCTGTGACTTTCATGACTTTTGGCATTCATCCGAGCCCAGTAGAGGTTGCTGTGAGTGTCGGAGGGAAATCAGACTGAGCTTTGTAACCCTTAGGCTCTAAGGACTCATATGTTAAGGCTTTTGGGCTCCAAAACCATACTATATAAGGCTTTTGGGCTATGTTGAGCCTTGGTTAAGTGATGCGAAGCGGGACTTCGACTTGCGTGCCTCGCGTGGATTAGACATCCTTGTCAACTCCATGGGCTTAAGCGGGGCTTGAAGAGGCACTTAAGTTCGCGTCAAGTCGCGCACCAGTGCGACCCCTGACTCGTCCCTGCCCTAAACCCTAAACCCTAAACCCTAAACCCTAAACCCACCATGGTTGGCCTACTTTCGGAGAAGGTCCTACGTGCAAGACTCAGACTTTCCTCGTGCGCAATCAAGAAAGTAGTTTGTTAGGGCTTTCTGAAGTAATCCTTGAAACCATGAGCTAAGGATAAATCCCACATCCTTTGCAAGCCCAACGGCTCTCAATGCTTCCAAACTTCCAAACACCACGTCCTGAACCCGTAAATCCTTCTCACCCTATACGGCCCCCAAATAGCTCCATGAGCGTGGTATATCTAGAATCTACGTAGACGCTACTATGCCCTTCAATGCAATAGGGTTTGCATGGGGGGTATATTATACTATAATCATAATAATTAATAATTAATAAGGAACCCCAATCCAGTATAGGTAATGATTTATGCTCTTTTTTAACCAGAAAATGACTACATTCGAGGGAACAAGAACTGCCCAAAAAACCCTAAACCCTCATACCCCCCAAAAAAATCAAACCAAAACAAAACTCCAACAACACGACCCCTCTAGAATCCTAATACAGCACTAGAAGCCCCGACAAAACCCCCCGATAGACCCTAAACCAACCCTGTAAAATCCCTCCTAACATCACACTTATCCAACAAAAAAACATAAAGCTTTGTTGGTAAACTGCCCGTGGTGTCTGAGCACGAGGCAGCTGGTGCATTCCCCTGTGAGCGGAGGAAAAGCGCAAATTCCTCGGGGGACCTCGGACAGGCTTAGGGTTTTGTAAGGGTTTTCGGAGGTGTACCTTGGAGGGAAGTTGTCGGGATCCGGTTTTGAGTGCAGCTTGTTTTTTTGAATTTGGGCTTTTTGGGGGTTTGGCTGTTGGTGTTTATGCAGTTTACCCTATGCCTCCAGGGACCTTACTATGGGGTCCTTAAGGGGTCTAGGGCCCTAACTATGAGGTCCTTGGAGGGATAGGGTTTAGGGTTGAAGATTTAGGGTGCATGCTTCAGGCTTATGGGTCGACGGTTTAAGGTTTAGAGAGGCCACCAGGTTTTGCAATGCAGGCGCCTTATTGCTTGATTGGAATATGGGAGTTTCAGAAAATAAGGGGTACCTTATTTGGGGGTCCTTATAATAAGGATCCTACTATTTAGGGTACTATATTAGGGTCCCCTATTTTCGGAAACTCCCATATGGTTTCGGGGCATATATAAGAGACCTCAGAGGGGCCGTCACGTTTTGTAAGGCTCCCGGGTGTACAGTTTTGGGGTTCCCGCCTGTGGGTATATGGGCCCATCGGATGCCGATAGGGCTCACAGAGTTTAGGGGTTTTGGGTTCAGCACTGGCGTGGTCAGGTTCTTGATAGGGTTTATAGGAAGGTTTCGATATGGTGGAATGGACTTCCAATCGAGTTTCGTAGTGTCTAGTACTTGCTAGAATTATGATAGGATTTTGTAGTCGTGGTTTTTGCATGATTCCGATCTTTCGAAGTAGGTTTGTTGTGGATACGTTTTAGCTCCATGTGCTCAGCGGTTTTTCTAGTTCCAAGAACGTGTGTCAGAGTGTCACACTAATTACGTGGTTCTTGCATGGGGGGGGGGGGTTCTTTGCGGGGCTCTTGGCTGAGGTCTCGTAGTCACTGCCGCTGTGTGGAGTTTTCCGAGTTTTCCGGTTATATAATCTATAAAACCTAAATGCTTCAAACCCTGAACCCCATACCAAAAGCCCTGAAACCCTAAACTCTAAACTCTAATCCCTATAAAGCCTAAACCGACGAGAGGTCTCGGTATGTGCCGGGTTTTGCCTTCTCTTTAGTCTGTCACTTGCTGGGATCTGCGCAGACGCAGCCGATTTCATATCATGGCGAATGTCCTTCTTCCAGCAACGGCATTTCCACGGTATCATGAGTTTAGCATACATTGAACCTTGTATCGCATGATGAAGCAAAGCAATACCGATAACTACATGAACCAGTATACATATATATATATATATATATATATATACATATATATATATATATATATATTCAAGTGTGTGTATGTATGTATGTATGTATGTATGTATGTACGCATGTGTGTATGCATGTATGCATGTATGTATGTGTGTATGTATGTATGTATGTATGTATGTATGTATGACTGTATGAAGGAATGTATGTATGACTGTATGAATGCATGCATGTATGCATGTGTGTATGTACATATGTCGATCAGCTAAAAGCTGATCCGGAGCAGCTTAAACCCTGAACCCTAAGACACTAAACTCTCAACCGCAATCTTTAATAACTGCAAATTTGGGTGTATCAGTTTCGGGCTTGAGGCAGCATCCTCGGGCTTGTTGCTCGAAGTGTCTGGGTTTAAGGTTTGAGGGTATCGAGCTCTTTGGGGCGTCGGGTCTACAGCCTAAAATAGAAGCCCCAATAGTTAGAACAGGATTTTGGGGCACATTTTACTATAACCATAATAAGGACCCCTAAAAAATAGTATCGGAAATTATGAAGGCCCCTGTTTTAAAGCCATACTATCACAGTTGCCATGGCTGAAGCCACGGTGCATCGGAGCAGCGCTGTACCCATTGGTTTGCCTCATCCGGAATCTCACGCCGCACGCCAGCAAAGGCGAGGTTGTAAGGTTTACTAGGGTTTCGGATCCAGGGTGTACCTGTATAGGTAGTCTTACTAGGGAGACACATTAAAGTCATTAAAGGGTATCCCTTCTGAACCCTACTTCTGGCTCTCTTAAAAGGGGCCTCACTGAGAGGGTCTATATCCCCAAGGGTCCCCCTAATCCTAACTCCCACTGTAGTCTCCATTGTAGTTCCTTTTTTTGGTTAGACCAGTTTTATAGTTAGGCTCCTATAAGGTACCCCAAAACAGGAACCACAATGGAGACTACAGGATAGTACAGGTAGGGTTTAGGGGTGAAGGGCTGAGGGGTAGAGTCGAATCTGCTGGGTTCAGGCGTTAGGCGTTGGGAGGGTCGAGGCTTGGCAGTGCTATCGTGCGGACCTATTATCTTTACTAAGGTCCGGCGACGGCATTGCGCTGAAAACGTCCTAGAGGGTTCAAGCAACCAAGAAGTTCATCCATTCACATCTAGAATGCTCAGATCGTAGGCCTTACGTGCTGCTGCTTGTGTGACAGGGTTTGCCACAACAAGGCATTTTGCGAGAGTCAAAGTGTGCGCCATAATTTGGGGCCTGGTGCTCAAAGGAAAAGCTCCGTCGAAACGGGATAACAACATGGGGCGGAGACGAACACAAAGCTTTTCTCGGGCAGAAGCATGGTAGGTCTCACTTGCTACAGGCTCGAGAAAATACAAACGAACATGAGGAAACCGAATAATACGAGTGGGCTTGCCATGATGCCGAAGAGGACCTGGTCCGCGAAAGAAAACGAATTCCAGCAAGATTCCAGGCCTTCTTCTCGTATCCGCTCTGCGATTCCATAGACGAGGCTTTGCAGAAGATTTTCGGGCAACACCGCACCGAGCTGCCACGGGCTCAGCCACATGTGGCACCTGAACGGGGCACCCGGGAAGAGAAGAACGTCGCCAGGCTCCGGTGCATGCAGGAAGCTCCTCCGAAGTTCCTTGCTGACGGTGGGAGTTTCGGAGCTCAGGTTCGCAAGATGAAGCCACAGGCGCATGTTGAAGGACAGCTCAACTGAAATGCGAGGATGCCCATTCTCTGCCAAGTAACCGACAAGTGCTGGAAAGCTTGCGAACTGCATATCTGTGATCTGCAATGACGGACGCATGGAAGAGGACGAGGGTTTGTGTACCTCAACCTTGACAGAAACTCCGTCTTCTGTAGGCCGGTACCGGTACCCAAACACCCTCGAAATAAACTGCTCAGCATCCCACAAGCTCGTATTCAGGCTCGGCAAGTTTTCGATTGACAACCACATGCAACATTTGAAGCCAGCGTCTGGAAATCTCAGGTTCAAACCTGTGCTAATCTGAGCAGCCTCACCATAACCGGATGCCCGAAAACTCCTTTCAAAGGTACAGTCGCTTTGTCGCAGGAGCCCTCGAAGCAGGACACGACTAAAGTGCAGGTCAACCTCCTGATCCCTGTGTGCACTTTCTGCCATGAATGCCAACGCGTCTCGAAAGTTATCGAAGCATCGTATGTCTTCGTCGGTCTCTCTCTGCAACCCCCGATCGCTGAAGCCAATTGCAAAGTATGGTGGATGGCTTGGCCATGGCTTGTTCATCCAGGAATGCACTTCGATACCGCGCGGAGTCTCACGACAGCTTGTGCTTCGGAGGAAGCACTCTGTGACATCACGAAGATGATTTGTCTCACCACCGAAGGCGAAGCTGTCCTCAATTTGCAAGCCTAGCGCAAGGACAGCGTCCACAAAACGCCTGTTGCAGGAAACTCCGGCAGTGAAGGTCACATCTTCAAACTGTAGTGATATTTGATGGCCACAGGGGAGGCTCTGCTGGCAGAATTCGCCCAAGTTCAAGCCTAGGGGGGGCTTGGTGAGGCTACAAAGTTCCCTCGTATAGCTTTGGAAGAGCAACCACGCACCAGCTCGCCTATCCTCCAAAACTTTTATCACGTCTGTACCCACTGCTGGTTCGGGGAAGTGGCTGCTTCTTTGAATAACTGCAAATGCCTCCAAGAGCATTCCATGGATACCGTGTGGTGCATAGTCAGGGAGCGAATGCACAACTGACTCTAGCAGGACGCCTGGAACTTCTGTGAACTTTACCCTGTAGAGAGCCTTCATCACCACCACCAAATTTTTTTCCACGCAAGGAGCACTTCTGCGTAGAACTTCTTGTTCTTTACCTGGTCATGCGCCCAAGTCTGTGGCTGAAGTGCTGTCACAGGGAGGATGTCAAGTGACAGCATCTCATAGGTAGCCACGATCAAACACCGTCCTTCATCCTTTGGCCGTTGCACGCTGACGTCTTTGAAACCGGCTCCACGAAGCTGTTGCACCAGCAACTCCCGGGACCGACTCGTCACGACAACGACATCCATGTCGTGCTCGCCTCGCAAAGCTGTGCTTTTGCCCATGCTGCCGGTTACATGGACTTCTGCTGGACGCAGCACCTCCTGCAAGCGTCTGACACAGCGATCACGGGCGTCCCGTGCCGCTCTGTCTAGCATCCAACCGTCCACTCTGGCATGAAAGAACCGTCTGTCTCGAAGCAGCTTGTGCAGCTCCACAATGTGATAGAAGCTGTCACAATGAGATCCGGAAGAAGATCCTGCAGGTAGGTCTTCATTGCAAATGAAACAACGAGATATCCCTCGAACCATGGCATGCTAGGTGGGGCTTTTAGAGCCTTTGAAAAAATGTTAGTAAATAAGGTCCTCTTAAGCCCAATAAGGGAAAATATAAAATGCCCCAAAGCCCTACCTAGCATGTCTGAGAAACGGCCGAAGGAAGAAACGGCTCGAGCTTCCAAGCTGCAAAAACGGGAGCAGCTCACGTCCCCTCGCCCTCCTGCATGCAGAAGCCCTCCCAGAGACTCCAATATCCCTTAATTCAGGAATATTCCTGAAATTATGTTAGGGACCCTACTATAATGTACGGAATATGGCTTAATTAAGGGATATTGGAGTCTCTGCACTCTTCACTCTCAGAAAATGCCATCAATCCCAAAACCATCGACTCTGCATCTTCAAGGCTCCACCCCCCTCAGAACCTCAAACTCTCACAGCAGCAACCCTATACCCCAATCACTCACCCCAAGCCCCTGAATCCTACGGTTGATGATATAAATCTTGCATTACCTTAAGGACCCTAAATTATGGGAACGATGGTCTTGGGGGTAATGCAGGATCTATATCATCAACCCTAGGATCCGCACCCTTGCCAGCTCGAGCTGGACACTGCCTCACAGGAGCTGTCGCTGATGGTTTAGGCTTTCGGGTTCTGGGGTTGATTAAATAGAGTTTAGGCTTCTGGGGTTGATGAGGGATAGTGACGCCGACTCCGGACATAAAGCTCTGAGGGTTTTGGACAGATAAATGATTTAAGCATGTCTGATGCTCAGAAAAAGAGTCTGCATGGTCTTGGGCCCCCGGATGTCATGAGCATTAGGCGAAAGTGCACTCTGCAAGCTTGTTTAAGCTTGTTCTGCTTATGATCCTCTTCTGTCTTCAGGCTGAGGACTTCGGGTCTGCCGAAGCCCCGGAGAGTAAACTAGGTTGGCTCTTTAAAGCCTCTGAAAAATATTCGTAAATAGGGTCCTACTAAGCCCAATAAGGGAACATATGAAATGTCCCAAAGGCCTACCAAGTAAGTTGAGTGCCAAAACCTGTAGAGGGCTGGGGTCCAGGTAGGCTGAGAGATCCTGTGCCCATCTCCATGAAAGCCCCACACAGCTAAGCGAGTTGGGGTGTAGGGGTTCAGGAACGCCCAAGGGTCAGGGGGAAGACTGACACGGTTTTGGGCGCTTAGGGCTTATAGGGTGTAGGATGGTCCCCAAACCCACTAGAAGGCATTGCAAAGACTCATTGCAGTTTGAATCAGCGTTAGAGTTTCGGGCCTCAACCAATCCTGACTAAACTCTGACAACCCAAACCCTGTGAAGCTTAATCAAGACTCGACTACACCGAAAACATGCCACAAGGATTGCCAAAGAACGCCAGCAACACCCAACGATGGAACCCTGAACGGTATGCGGCTTTGCATCCTTTTTCTAAAGGACCTTATAAGTACTTATTATAGTGCAGAAAGTAGGGTTTCTATATGTTGCGATAATATGCATACTATTTGTGTTGGTAAATATCCCCCCATAATAGGCACCTAGGATAAGTTTAGGGTTGGGGGCTGAAGGTCTAGGGTTGAGAGTTGAGGGGCTCCTTGGTCAAAGGTTTAGGATGTAGAGTTTAAGGCTGGAAGTTAGGGAGTTTAGGGTTTAGGGCTGACAACCCTGAGGCCCAAAATCGCCCAAAAGCCTGATATGATATGGAATGTAGGGAAAAAAAGCCTTAAACTATGAGTCCTCAGAGCCTTAGGGCAGCCAGTCTCCAGGCAGGGTTGCTGTTTGAGTTGGGGGATTCCGCGGGCTGATTCCTGGCCCAAAGATTCAGAATCCCAGGTACCTCCATGAACACGATTCTGGTTTGCAGAGGTATCCCTCCAGTCCTGTAGGCACGATGTTTTGGGTTTTCGTGATATGTCAACTTCTACCTGAGCTCCAGACCTCGATCGGACTACCGTCAGCCACCACGCGGCCTCACTACCCATAGCCAAAACTCAGAAACTCAACTCCACCTAAGCCACCCGAGAGAGAGAGAGAGAGAGAGAGAGAGAGAGAGAGAGAGAGAGGGAGAGAGAGAGAGAGAGAGATAGATAGAGAGAGAGAGAGAGCGAGCGAGCGAGCGGGAGAGAGCCAGAGAGAGCCAGAGAGAGCCACACTGTGCCCCTGAACCCTAAACGCTAGAGACAGAGAGAGAGAGAGAGAGGGAGGGAGATATAGAGAGATGGATAGAGAGAGAGAGAGAGAGAGAGAGAGAGAGAGAGAGAGGGAGAGTCTCATAGAGAGAGATAGAGATAGAGAGATGGGGCCAAACATATCGTAGCAGATTCAACAAGGGTTCCTGTAACGGTTCCATGAAGCCTCTATGGGTCCCTCCTTATCGTAACAGCTCCCTAAACCCTAAACCCTAACCCTAAATCCCTAGCAGAGGCCTGCAGGGCCATCTCCGACGGGTCGTCCAAGAGGTCAGCCCAGGTAACAACCTCGGAACTCAGGGATTACCATGCTTTTGGGGTTCTGGGTTTTGGGGCTTAGGGCTTCGCGGGTTTAGGGTTTAGGGTGTGGATTACATGGTTTTGGGGTTCAATGTCTTAGGGCTTAGGGTTTAGGGTGTGTAGGGTTTAGGGTTTAGTTGGTTTAAGGTTTAGGGTTTAGCGAAGTTCAGGGTCTTAGGCCTTAGGGTTTTAGCGCTCAGGGTTGTAGCGTTTCAAGGATTCTATGGGGTTTTCCGTAGAAGGAGCTATAAAGGGTTTAGGGTTTCCGAAAATTAAGAAGTACCTTAGCTTTGGGGTCCTTATCATAAGGATCCTACTATGTAGGATACTATAATAGGGTCCCCTACTTTCGGAAACTCCCACGCGGTTAAGCGGTTCAGGGTTTGGGGGGTTATAGGAAATCATTGCACGATGAACATACGTACGACTTTTTACCTTTTTGAATGCACATCTTCCAACAGAGAGTGATCGGATTCCGGACCTACGCCTACGGCTTAAGGGCTTATCGGTTTGCATGGGGGATGTACACCTGAAGAGTATGTGCCTGTTTGAGTCTGTTTAAGGATACGGCTGTCTTGGGCTTAGGTCTGTGGGCGTGGGGCTCGCGGGGGCTTGGAATTCTTTTGTGCTTGAGATGTGAGGTTCAGGACCTAGATACATGCCTCATGGTCGAAAAACTGACTAAAACCTAAGCCAGTTTTGAAGCCCCTTTAGGCTCTCAACCCGTAATTAGGCGCCGGGCTTTTCTAGAGGGGATCCGGCCTCCAGACCCAAAGCCGCTGAGCCTAAATTAGGGTCGAGTCGAGAAGGTTATTAGGATTTTGGATGTAAGCGGTTGAGGATTTGTAAAGTGTTTGAAGTACAGAGTGTGTAGGTGACATGGCTTTTGCTTGACTGTTCACATGCGCGGTAACAAACTCACACGGGGTTAAAACAAACTCCCGGAATATGAAGGAAACCGATCGCCCAGGGTTGTAGCTGAGGACGAGCCATGAATCTCCTAGACCCTGCCTATAGTCTCCATTGTAGTTCCGTTTTTGGTTAACCAGTTTTATGGTTAGGACCCTATAATAGAGAATTAAACAAGGAACTACAATGGAGACTATAGGTAGGGGCCAGATGCACCTTCTCAAATCTCTGAACCTTAAACCCCCAAGTCGGGCAAGGTCCAAGCAGCCAAAACCCTGCACAAATTTTACAGCTCCCATAGAGACAGGCGTTGCGATTGTGTCAGACTGTACAGGGGCGACACGTTGAGGGCCCACTGCAAACATCCTGGTGCCGACTTCTTGACGCGCTGCTGTCAAGATCTGCACACGGCACATGAAACTAATTGCAGTTGGGGAAACCAGATTAGAGCATATAAACGATGATGGTGAACAACATTTTAACTTCAAGCTTAAGGTTAAGATCCTCGCAACAGGAACCCGCAACACCGAATACGGCCCGTGTAGCCCCAGCTTGTTGCAGGGTTTTGGTGTTTCCCTCATGCCTAAGCATTTTGAACCCAATGCCTGGACTCGATGGTGTAACGCCGTTGCAAACCCCACATTGTAAGAACCAGTATGGGCCTCACCCTCTCAGAAATAGAACCGAGTAGGACGTTGAAAACAGCAAGGCCAACAACGTCCTGAATCCCGGGTTGGGGGCCTAGAGTAAACTGTAGCACTGTAGAATTCATTGCGGATCGCTGCACTCATTTCTGCTTTTATTCCGTCAACTTGAAACCCCAAAAAGAACGGCATACTCAGAAGCTGAAGATCAAGATGCGGTAGCCGATGCGGGTTCAAGAGTATAAATTCCCGAGCTACAGCGTATTGGGGTCGGGGCCCTGGTTTCGTCCTTTTGGCAGTAGGATGGAGCTGTTGGATGGATTTGAGTTTGGGTTGTGATTTTATGAAGTTTGAGCGAGGTGTTCGTATCAACGAACAAACTGTGCTGTGCATTAATCTGCGAATGCAACTTATAGCTTTGACGAGCAAAACATGACATGCGTTCCGAGTCGCTGATGCTCTCATTACAGGCTAGAGAGTTGGAGGTGTGGGAGATGGTTTGAAGGCTTTCTCACACTTGCTCACCAGCCCCGCACAAAGCCGCGTTCATCTTCTCCAAGAGGAGGTCCCGAATGAAGCCGTTGTCCTGACACTAGACTCCCAACCGAGAAGTAACCTCGACGCTTCCAAGGAAGAAAGCTCCGCGCCCCGGGTGTTATGTCAGGCACGCTTAAGCTATCCATTAAGCTGCTTATTGCTGGTGATGAGTAGGCTGTTTTTTGCTATCAGGGCTTTCCAGCTGTCGGTCCCTATTGCAGCTCAGCAAAGGTCTATGTCAGTTTCGAGCAATTAAGTTAGGGTTCCGAAAGAATGCCCAAGTGATACTTCTGGCTGGATTTACCCGTAACTTGGGGGGTTACTTGGAGGGTCGGAGACTTACCAACTGATTATTTTAGGGACTTGTAAGTACCTATAAGTCTATACTTACTACCTACTTACTAAGTCTCGCGACCCTCCAAGTATGCCCTTTGATCACTCGGACGGGGAGGCCCTTCAAACATTCTCTTTTCCCAGGCGTCTGCCGCCATCGACATGTGGGAAATTTCAATTTCTTCCCAAGCATGGAAAAACCCTGAGCTCCATGCCCTAAGCACAGGCAGCACGCAGACCCCAAGTCTGGACAACCTAACGTCGACACCCTAAACCCTCCGCACTCTCAACCTAAAGGTAGTCCCATCGTGACAAGAAGATCCTTGCAACGGTTGAGGTCTCGGATTGCAATCTCATCGCGTCAACAAAACGCCCCTGTAGCTTTATAACACAGACAAGATTAGGACACAGTGTTGCGCGTGTTTCGCGATCTCGAATAATGGATCCTTTTATATAGGCTCTAAACCCTAAACCCTTTGGGGGTTCCGGTCCTCTTCTGCTCTGTCTGGGTGAAGGCCGGAGGAAGTTCCGTTCACCTGGCAAGGACGGAGCTCAACTCTCTTTGGGGCGTAGGGTTTCGGGTTTAAGGTTTAGGGTTTAGGGGTTCGAAACTCCGCCCCCTTTCCCGGTCTTCCTATCCCAAAGGCTCCAAATAGCCCAAAAGCCTTGCATAGTATGGTCTTTGGGCCCAAAAGCCTTAAAATGTGAGTCCTTAGAGCCCAAGGGTTTCTGACCAAGTCTGACAATCTGCCTCACTACATTGACGTAGGAACCCTAGGGGCTAGCGTTTGTGGGTTGGGGTGAGGGCACCATCAATGTTGAGCAGGATTCGGGTTGTAGAGGGCGGTTGGCTAGGGACACGAGAAGGCTAATTTTCAAAAGCCCCAAATCGGAATACGGTACGATATGAGGCTTTCCGAAAATTGGGGGTACCTTATTTTGGGGTCCTTATAATAAGGATCCTACTATTTAGGGTACTATATTAAGGTCCCCTACGGTTGATGATATAAATCCTGCATTACCCATAATCAGGAATATACAATAATTCCCATAGTTTAGGGCCCTTAAGGTAATGCAGGATTTAAATCATCAACCGTATTTTCGGAAACTCCCATATTGCGGGAAGCCTCACCTTCCCAGGAACATGACAAACACATCCCCAAATCCGAGAACCCTAAGTCTCACTGGCCCCAAAACCCAAGGGGATAAAAGTTGAAACTTTCAGACTCGACTACCTGATAAGAACCCCAAAAATTGAAAACAGTTGAGTTTACAGCCAATGAGAATTAAACCCTACACGAACCCAGCTTTTCAACTACTTGGCGGATCTGGACACTTGCAAGTATGTACGTGAACAGCTCCATAGCCCCAACATGAACCCTGCAGTACTTTGCCAGCCCCCAAGACCCCCGAAAAGTGGAAATGCAACGAACCTCCAGAAGGGGTGGAAGAACTTCCCATGAATCGTAAACCTTACCACCCGAGGCCTGTCAACACCCTGACGGAAAACCCCGCAAACCCTTGTCGAAAGCTTAAAACCCTTCACCATACCACCGGCTTTTACCTCTGGTCTCCATTGCAGTTTTTCTTAGGATTACCTTCTAGGATCCTTAGTACATAATTGGCTAAACCTAGAAAAAGGAACTACAATGGAGACTATAGGTATCCCTCCCCCTAAGCCCTAAACCCTGAGCCCTACGTCCTAAACTGCAGGCATCTGAAATATCATGGGATAACTATTGAGAGTTCCCCAAAAACAAAACATACTAAACGAATGATTCAATAATGTGTGATACCACAACAAAATTCCATTCAACAAGTTTTGTAAGATAATTATGTTTGCCCTTAAAGGAACCCTTTAAGGAATCCTTAACGGGAATCCTTAAAGGAACTCTCCAGCGAGCGCCTCCAGGATGAGCTCCTTCCCAGTGCCCTCCTCGACGATCGCATCCACCGTGAGGATGTCCAGGCCCCCGAACCTCAAAAAAAACGGCTCCCAGAGAGGGTCTCTAGGGGTTTGGAGGCTTTGGGCTTTAGGGTTTAGGGGTTTAGGGGCTTGGGGGTTTGGGGGTTTTGGGGTTTAAAAAACGGCTCCCAAAGAGGGTTTAGGGGGGTTTAGGGTTTGAGGGTTTGGGGGTTTAGTTTAGGGGTTTAGGGGTTTAGGGTTTAGGGGTTTGTATGACCTAAGAACCTCAAAAAACGGCTCCCAAAGAGCCTAGACCCAAGAGTAATCTGGTAATAAAAAGGGTGCCCTTTTTGGTTCAAAGGGGGCTTATAAGGGAACCTGAACCCCAAAAAAGGGAATAAGGGCTTACTCTGGTTCCTAGGAGGGTTTAGGGTTTCAGAAAAGTACATTGTGGATGCCTGTTTGGGGGTTTATGTATCAGATGTAATTTACGTCTTGCGTGCTCTCCAGTATGTACCATTATCTTAGGGTTTAGGGTTTTCGGATTTAGGGGCTGGTATGACCTAAGAGGAACCTAGGAATAAAAATGGTGCCCTTTTTGGTTTAAAGGGGGTTATAAGGGAACCTGCACCCTAAAACAGGGAATAAGGGCCTACTCTGGGTCCTCGGCTCTCAGAGGGATTGCAACTGGGGTTTGTACAGACCTTCATGGGGTCTTCAGAAGGGCGTGGAAAGGGTTCTTGATGCAGAGGTTTATCCAGGCTCTAGGGAGGACGATGAGCCTACGATCAATTGGACTTATAACCCCATGCATCAATTGCTTCTGCAAGCCGGAAACCCTAAACTCCAGGCCCTAAACCCTAAAACCCTAAACCTTAAACCTTTAAACCCTAGGCCCGAAGCCCTAATACCCCAAACCTTAAACCCTAAACTCTAGGCCCTAAACCCTAAAACCCCAAACCCCAGGCACTAAGCCCTAAAAACCCTAAACCCTACAAAGCCTGATGGAGTCCCCTGGGCTGGCAGGGCTTCAAGGATTCGGGAATGGGGGCTTGGATTCTTTTGCTCTGGGCTTTAAGGTTTAGGATTTACCCTTAGGCTCTAAGGACTCATATTTTAAGGCTTTTGGGCCCAAAGACCATACTATATGAGGCTTTTGGGCTACTTTGAGCCTTAGGGTTAAGCTTTGGGCTTCTAGGATTTGGACTGCCTAGCAGCACTCCCCTTGACTGCCTCTAAGGCAGTCCATATGTATTCAGGCTTTTCGAAGCCCATAGACCACCCATGCATTGGAATCTTTTTACAATGACCTGGCTCTACGGGAGACGGTTCAAAACATAATAAGTTTAGGCTATTGTGTGGGTCCCCAGTGGATCTGTGTAAACAAGAGGACGTGAGCGCAAACGATGCCCCGCACGCCACGTCGGGTTGCATTGCCCGGCACCGTTTTCCCCCAGTCGCCGGAGGGGCAGTAACCAAGCAGTCTTTACTCGAAACAATGGAACCGCATAGTGCTTACCACACTGCCTGGGGAAATGAACCGCCAAGAGACATCTCCGCAGCGGCATCCGCCCACTTCTGATAGCCTTTGCGAGGGGTGCAAAGCTCTGGCAGTTCAGCATTTAATAGGGTCATACGCCGCATAAGCTTTAAAATCCCCACGTAGGTGTTCAAAGGATTTGGTCTTCTAGCTCGATGTCAGTAGGGAACTGAAGAAGTTAAGGACGGGATCATGGATGACATTCTGCATGTGCCACCATTATCATGTCATACAACTGTTCAGAAATTATATAAGCAGCTCAAAGTACTACTCGACAACAGGTCTTAGCCTCAGCTCATGGACATCATCCCCAAAACGGTGGATCGCCAGGTAGCGCTTGAAGGCTTTGGGGTTAAGCCGAGAATTTGCAGACAAGGCACGCTCTAGGCAGTCGATCTCCTCCATGATCCTGGATTATTTGCGCCGACACACAATATAGAGGCATGTAAAATCAGAACAGGGTCTTGGTGGATGTTATGTGCCAGTATGTGCCACAATAATGACAGGATGTTGAGGAAGGTTTTGGTAACGATTTAACAAAAGCCCAGCTACATCCACTTCTCTCTCTCTCTCTCTCTCTCTCTCCCTCTCTCTCTCTCTCTCTCTCTCTCTCTCTCTCTCTCTCTCTCTCTCTCTCTCTCTCTCTCTCTCTCTCTCTCTCTCTCTCTCTCTCTCTTTATCTCTATTTCTACAAAAGTTGCTCGTGTACCCGAAGACGGCAACTCGCTACACGAGCTTCTAGCGACGATAAACGGCCAAAAAACAAGCTAGGGAGAGAGTTCAAGCTGGTCCGCAAGGGAAGCCTCAAAGAGTTCAAAGAAGCCAAGGGAAGCCCGAGTTTCAAAACGGAGAAGGTGTAGAATGCTGCCTCAAGTCCTAAGTACCTATATCGTAGCATGTAGCGTTTCTATTTTCGGAATCCTTATTATGATTTGGGAAAGTATCCCCAGTAACAAAACGTAAAACCCTTTGGGAATCTAGCGCAGCATCCCAGAAGGGAAGCTCTCAACCCTAATTCTTCAGATATCTTCGGTCTTAAGGTCCGGTTTAGGGTTCAGGGTTTGGTAATTTATAGGTTTTAAGATTTAGGGTTTGGGGTTTAGGTTCAGGGTTTCGGCTTGCCGGCGTCTTAGGGTCCAAGGTTTTGGGTTTTGAACCCGAAAAACCTGTGCCATCGCAGTCCAAGAAGCGCAGTGCACGTGTTGGTCTTCCAGTCACCCGACAAGCCCAGGCGCTTGAAGGCACGGTAGTGGGGCCCAATCTTCTGAATGCGGAGATCCCCTGCGGTTCCCGAAGAGTTCAGGGCTCAGAGGGTTGAGGATGGTGGAACGCCTACCTTAATCTACCAAAACCTACAAAAAAGTAGGGTCCCTATAAATTCCATATTAGGGTTTATAGTAGTAAGAACCCACAACAAAGCAGGGTTTGGTAGGTTAAGGTATAGAATGCTGAAGTATTGTGGGGGCGGGGGGGGGGCATTCAGGCCAGGGAGCTAATTGTAGGGCCACATTTTATCCACAAGAAAGGATGACGAGACCTGAATCCTGAACCCTGGCATTAAAGCCCTAAACCCGGAAGATAAATCCAAAACCGTAGATTTTGGGGTTTAGGGTTCAGGGCTTCAAGGTTTAGGGCTTTAGGGTTAGGAAGGCTCCGAAGCTTGCATTTTGCAGACCAAGGTCCTTGCGACTCGATAAACGGCTCCACAAGACCTTGGGTATCCCACTCCACGTTTAGGGTTTAGGCTTTAGGTATGCGGAAACCTCTCCCCTCCCAGAACAAGGCTTCCTTCTGTAGGGCTCTATACCCCAGACACCACGGCAGCAAACAAAAGACCGGCTCCGGCATTGTGCAGGTTAGAGAGTTCGGGAGCGCGAAGGCAGGTTTGAGAGAGTGCATGGACCCCTCGGCAGCCAACGTCCAAACGACTTCTATATTTGTTCCGTTAACAGCAATAAAACATCCACCCGAACCCTAATTGCCCTAATTCCACACACCCTTTGTAGAGGTCCAACGCCAAAATCCTGAACCGGTGCGCTTTATGCTCCAGGACACAGTGCTCATCCGGCATCATCTCGAGTACAGAGCGGAAGTCACTCATTTGACGGTGGTCATGGATTTTCATCCTCGGTCTGGGATTCGGGCTTGGGATGTTCATCCTCCGATGCAGCTTCTACCACTGAGAGTTTCCTAAAATAGGGGACCCTAATATAGTACCCCAGAAGTAGGATCCTTGTTATAAGGACCCCAAAACAAGGTACCCCTAATTTTCGGAAACTGCCACTATGTCACCATGGAGTCTTATGCTGACTGCACGGTCGCACGGCACGGTTCTCCCTGCCGATCAGTACCTTCACCGTTGGTTCTCTACATGTCTGCTGATGATTAGCATTCTCAATGTTGCTTCACTGGGGTTCTCGCAATTGCAAGCGTATGCAACATGAGCAGCATGAGCAGTTGAACAGCATGGACCCGAACTGTCTGTTTTGCCCTCTCGTCGCTCATGTTTCTTGTGATGAACGCGGAAAACTTACATCAACTTCCATATGAAACACCGTGTGGTAGAGGTTTTCTCAGGTAGTCAGTATACCAGCATTGTTGGAGAATGGAAAGGACCCCAGACACAAGAGGGGCTTAAACCCGTGTTCGGGAAGGTTCAAGTCTAGTACTACTATAATGCTTTATCTTAGTGATTACTCAAGGAGGCATTCCTGACCCAAATGTTGAACCCGTGACCCTCTGCCTTATCAAACCTAAAGCCTCAACTGCCTTCTCCCTCTGAAAAATGTTCGCAATTCAACAAGATCCTCTTCTGCCCAGAGAGGAAATACAACATGTCCCAAAGGCCTACCTATACAGTAAACCCCATAAAGTTGGAAACCCGGTTAAGGCCAAATAGTGCTGGGATTCCTTATACATTACTCTTAAGGATTGAGGCTATCGGGTTTCCAACTTTTGGGCTTCTACTGCATAGCTCGTAAACCCTGATCTGGAAGATCTCATTGGAGCAAAGGAGCTTGCCCACTCCAGCGTGCGCCGAGCCCACCTTCACCACAGCCGGGAAGGTGTAGCCGTACATGAGGCTCTTCGACGAGGAGCCTGGCTGACCAAGAAGCTTTCCAGGATCCCAGAAAGTCCTAGGTACTTATATGGGGGATACTTCCCCAAATCATAATGATAATTCCTAATATACAAACACTGCATTACATTCTACCCTACAGGTACGTTGGACCCTATCAGAATAGTACTTCCTAATATACAAAAACTACAGTCTACCCCACAGGTACTCGGGACCCTATGGGGAGTTATTGCACAGAACGAGGCTTAGCCTGAAATCGAAGGTAACATTTATGAGCCATATACTCAAAAGTGGATGCCCTCGTAAGTCCATTCGGGCTACTTGCTGGGATTTCTTGGCAGGCTTGATAGTTGAAAGACAGCCGCAGATAGCGCGGATGAGATCGCTAAGGAGCAGGACGTAAATCCTGTGTTTGAGGGATTTTGACTAACCAACTATAAAGCCTAAACTGGAATTCGGGCTGAGAGTTTTGGACGCTGTGTTCGAGTAACGAAGCCAAATCTTGTGTGCTGCATGTTCGGGTGCTATAGCCTTTGTTGCGGTTTTTTTGTAAAGACCCCAACTACTTGTATGGATCCCTTTACAGGAACCCTTTGTAGATCCCTGTGATCGAACCCACCTAGATCCCTTTCAAGGGCAAAATTTGGGGGAAAGCTGGCGTATCCCTGCCGTGGAGATTGCAGGGCTTGAGAGTCTGGGGCTCACGACTTCGGAGATTAGGGTTTAGGGCTTAAGGGGTTCGGGGGCTTTTTTTCAAAAGGCCTTATGTAGTTGTTTAGGAGCTCGAAAAGGGTTTGGGGCTTAAGAGGTTCAGGGGCTTTCTTTAACAGGGTTGAGGGATTGAGGGATTTAGGGGTTTAGGGGTTTGGCTGTTTAGGGTCTAGGGGTCTTGGGATATAGTATAGGATGGTTTAGTTTAGGGCTTGGGGCTTTAGGGTTCGGCTGGCGCTGCGGACGAGAAGCAGAAGTGCTGAGGCACGACGGGGAAAACCTGGCGCTGCAGTGAAAGGAAGCAAATAGAGGCATTTATTGCAGAATCTCGTGGTTTGGGCTCGGTGCCATGGGGGCCTAAACCCTAAACCCTTTAAAAAGCAAAACTCTGGACCCCAGAAACTAAGCCCCAAAATCCGGGTGTACGCTCAAGCTAGATCGAAGGAGTCTCCCAAGGACTGGTAAGGTGTTTGTTTATGATCCCATTTGTGGACTATGGTGTCATGTAGTCGACGCTTAGGATATGCAATCCGCGCGCCTTGTGATTTGTCACATATACTATACTAGATAAGACACGCTAGTCAAAATCCTAAATCATAAGATTCACGTCCCAAACACCTCTGAATAGCATCCCCACTCTATATTGAAATGAAGCTTTCATCGAGGGTGTTGGATCAGTGTTTGATGTGGCCTATTCCGTCCCACAGGAACACTGCCCTATATAGGCAGTAAGAGACTGCTGGCGCAGTTGGTTCAAGGAAAAAGGCATTTAGCGGAAGTCGACACCTAGGTTCAAGCCCGACAAACGCATCGCACACGGCCTCACAATGTAGAGCGCACCATCTAGCAGGCATTGTTGGCGAAAGGTATGACTGGCAAACAGAGTAGTCTGGGAACAAAGCTGAAGCTTGATTCGTTTGCTAAACCTGCTAAAGACTGGGGAACGGGGGGGGGGGGCGGTACTTGCAGGGGAATAAAGACTACATACATCTGATTCAAGTTGAGGTGTAAGATAATAGAACACACTACAAGAGCCCTTCAATAAAACAAGAAGCTGACACACCCTCAAACAAACCGCAAAGACCCTTATGAAGCCGTACAGAACAACCACTCTGAACTGAGCTTCTGACGCCGGCATACCCCTGTTAAGGTGCCGTCTAGAGTTCAGAACAAAGGCCTCGGTGTAGGGTTTCAGGGTGTAGGGCTTTGTCTGGCTTAGGTTTAAGGGCTTCAGGGTTCAAGGTCAAGGTGTGCAACGTGCGTGCAGAAGAATGTCCCCGAACTTCAAAGCTTTCATGCTTTAGGGATTTAGGGTTCCTCGAGCCAAAACTCAAACCTTAAACCCTTGGGACGACTCATAACACTCATACATGGCCTTAATGAAGACAAGCCGGTTTCGGTGATTAGTATTAGCTGATATTAGCTGTACGCATGATCTATAACTCTCTCCACACGGAACCTCTTTGCCCAATTGCCGCTGCAGTCTGTGTAAGCGTCCCTGCACTGCCGGCCTCCGATCGAGATGCGTTTGGCTTTGGACTCGCTGGTGCAGAAGGTTAAGTGACGAGAGTGTTCCTCTGCGCATATAGCTACCCAACATGGAGCTTGAATGTGAAGACCTCCAAACATGGGGACTTGGAACAGACCCGCCGACTCGACTGCTCAGAAGGCCAAGAACAAATCCAAACATCCTCTGTGCCATCGGCTGCTGCAAGCAATGCTCATCTGGAAGATCTATCAAAGCAGGATTCTTATGTCTTCCACATGAACTGAGACGGAGGGTTCACAAGACTTGAGCTTGCTGTCTTAATACAACCACCATAAGCCAACCTAATTTAGGAGCCTCAATAGGGTCTCACTAGTGGGAATAGGGTTTGGGTGCATATATTCTAGCTCTAGTGTACTTCGCATAAGCAACTCCCCAACAAGTATATATATATATATATACACATATTTAAATTTTACATATTATATCTATATATATATATATATTATATATATAGGTATTTATTAATAGTAGACCACCTCTCGCAGAACATGAGGATGGACTCCAAGGAGTTCATGGCTGGCACCTGCTTTCGACTCGGCTCGGGCTTAGGCGCTCGGGCTGAGTTTACGGCTTGGGGGTTTATCCAAGGGGAAAAGGAGGGACCCTTAATAAGGACCCCTAGGTATATACCCTTAATATAGCTATGATAGACCCATTATATGGCCCATTATAGGGTAGGGGTCCCCATTAAGGGTCCCTCCTTTTCCCCCTTGAATTTTAGGGTTCCCGCTAGTCCAAGGGATTCAAGAAGAAGTAATGTAGGGGCCTTAATCATTAGAATAGGGTTTTGGGGCCCATTATGCTACAATCATAAGCCCCCTTCATGGTACAGGCAATTATTAAGGCCCGTACTTGGGTTTTAACATGGCAGTTTTGTTGGTTCGTAGCTGGGCCTCAGGTGTAGGACTTAAGGGGTTTGGGGCTGAAGGTCTGGGCTTCAGCAACTTGAAGGCATCAGAGGGGCATTGGAAAGTTGTATGGTTTAGTCAGTTTAGTTGTAAGGAACTTAAAATTTGTGTGCAACGCCAACATAATGAGGGCATTTAGTACAGAATGGTCTTATTCTTTCTACGTCATGGTAGCCGCGCCTGGTAGCCCCCTGCAAGTTGTGAGAGAGGCTTCTGCACAGCCTCTTGATTCTAGCTGCAGAACTTCGTGGGTGAATCTCTTGAACCGTAGTCGGGAAATACATAATCAACCGACCAGGATTCCTATTCAGCTGTATTGTAATGCAACCCTTGACTAGTAAGCCCCTTCCTGTTTAAAGGCCTTGATACTCGGATCCTTATTCTAATCTCGTTTTGTTCAATGGTACGCAGGCTTCTTATTCAGGGATCAACATCAGCATCTGAGGCACGTCTGCAAAGAGAAGGCCATTCAGCCGGCCCCGGCCATCGAAGGATGACATCTTCACCTGTTAGGGTACAAAAGGGTTACCTGACTCTACGGTTTCTACGGGTTAGAAAGTTGCCCTTGGATGTAAAACAAGGAGTAGTGTTACAGTGTTGCAGTTCTGCTGACATAGTAAGTATTTACTTTAGAAAGCCTGATGCCATCAACTACAAGCGCACTGAACACTACTACCGTCCCTGTTTCCCGCGCGTGCCTGAGAAGGGTTTTGGGGCCCATAGGCTCCTAGCAAGACTGCTGAATCAAAGCCGCGACTCAGTATCCTGCCACCTGCTCCCGTCTGCTCTGCAGACCTAAAATACTTCTGTCGACCCTGAACTGCTAAACAACCAAACTGTAGCCAAACCGTGACACATGAAATCCCGACCACACGCTGCTTCTGTAGCGACTCGAGTTTGTACAAACTACGTACCGGCCTATTACAACACTAAACTAAACCAAACCTTAAACTAGAAAGCCCTAAACCCCCGCCCCCCCCCCCCCCCAAATCCCTGAACTAGACCCTCTGTTAGAAGAACCCGGAGCCTCATTGCGAACCAGCACATAGTCGGGCTGAATGGTCAGTCGCCTGCCCTGCTCTTGGCCTCATGGAGACTCAAAAGTCCCAGAAATCATGACAACAAGGATACGATTGCCACTATTAAATGTAGTATACTATAGTTATTAACAGTTCTAGTGTACTGTAGCAACTTTAATAATAGGATACTATTGCTATTGCTAATAATAATAATATACTATAGCTATTTATGGACGCCAAGACTGTCTCCAATAATGATCTGGTTCGGTTCAGAGTAGAAACAAGTAGGGATGCTGGTGGTGGTGGTGGTGGTGGTGGTGGTGGTGGTGGTGCTGGTGGTGCTGGTGGTGCTGGTGGTGCTGGTGGTGGTACTGGTGGTACTGGTGGTACTGGTGGTACTGGTGGTACTGGTGGTACTGGTGGTACTGGTGGTACTGGTGGTACTGGTGTGGTGGTACTGGTGGTACTGGTGGTGGTGGTGGTGGTGGTGGTGGTGGTGGTGGTGGTGGTGGTGGTGGTGGTGGTGGTGGTGGTGGTGGTGGTGGTGGGCGGCAGTGGTGGTGGTGGTGGTGGTAGAATTAAACTGGTCGCAGTAGCAGCGGACATTTTGCAAATAAGATCCACAGCCATACTGATGCTATCAGTCATCACCGTATGGTGATAGGAACGAACAATTCAAGGGTGCTGGGCTTCAGAGGTCATGGAGTCATGTTCGAAATTTCAAGTCTAGCCATTGCGGCTACAGGGTTTGAACTCTTGGGGCTGAAGCTTCAGAGTCTCCCGAGGATTGAGAGTTAAGGACAGCTCCTGAGAGTATTGGGAAAGAGTAAAGAACCATAACAGTACCTAGTGGTAACAGTGATGTTCAGTACGTAGCAAGTATGGAGTCGTGAGTACTTTCACTAGAAATTAGGGTATAATTGAACGCACAACTAACAACTCAATGATGAAAGCCGTATAATCCGCTTAGACGAATTGTTCAGGGGAAGATCCAATCTGTATACATTCTAAACCGCAAACCACACCTCAAACCTGCAATCCCTGGCCCCACACCAGGAATGAAGCCCTCAACCTTGCGAAACCCAAACAGACAGGAATAACGCAGAGTCTAGCATCATAGAAACGCTTGTGGGGTTCATCATACTATGATCCTGCGGCGATAAACTTGGGCTGGGCTCTGACAACTTCGGTCATTTGAGCCTGCTCGGACCATGTGAACATGAACCCAGCAAGCCCTCTAGGGTTTTAGGGTTTGGGGTTTTAGGGTTTATAGGGTTTCGGGTTTTTTTTGGTTTCGGAGTTTAGGGTTTAGGGTCTCTATGTACATCGGAAGCCGGCGCACGCGCCGGATGAAGAAACAATCGGACCTTGCCTACGCGGCAACATAGCTCACGAAGCAAAGCCCCACCACAAACACACACACACACACAGAGACACACCAACCACGTCGGAAACCTCTCCCCAAAACAAAAATGTCTTAGCTCCTTCGAAACCCGCAGCTTCAGCTGCACCAAGCCTGGTCCGGATGCAGAGGGGGCTAGGCGCAGGATTTCCACGCAGATGCGCCCGGTGGAGTAGGTACCTAGGGGATCGATACCAGGACTCCCTTGTTGGCTTTTCGTAGTTCTGTAAAGAACCCTAAACTTTACCTTAAACCCCTTGCAACTTTTAAACCTCAAAAACACTAAGACCACAAAAAGCAAGAAGGGCTCGCTGGGAAAGCTAGCTACACCCTAAAGCCTTAACAAGAACCCAGGTACTGGCATGGACGTGGATGTCTGGCCAACCTCCGAGTCTGGGGTTGAGAATGTGGTTTAGGGTTAAGGGATTTAGGGTTAGGCGACAGTTTTAAATTTGGGGTTGGGGTTTAAGATGTTGGAATTTAGGGTTCCAGGTGTGCGATTGGGCAAATTGAAGGGCTGCAAGAGATCACAGAGTTGCACCATGGTTTCGTGGCACATCAGATTTTGCTTTGCTTGATGTTCAGGAATTGAATTGCGGATGCCTCTAGCCAGACTGTCTCGTTTCTGCAATGGTTCAAGCTGCAGCTCGCCAATTCCAAGGGCCCTAAACCATGTGCCGTAAACTCGACAGGCTACTGGGCAAAGAAGCATAACTCTGCTTGCTTCATACTGCCCAGCAAAGTACGCCCCATGAGTCGTAGGAATGATCAACTCGCAAGTTGAACCGAGGACACCATGCAAGGCAACGCCCTGTTAAGCCTGATGGGTGCCCTTCCATGTATACGAACTGCAAAATCTAGGATGTAGGATGTTTAGCGTTCCGGGTTGATCATTGGACAGTTCCAGCTAAAGCAGTCATTATCCAGCCCTTCAGGACTGCGAGAAACATAGCACTGTCTCGGTCCAACTATATACTCAACTCATGTAATATCTTTGGGTTTAGGGTTGGATCATTGATCCTAAACCCTAAACCCCAAACCCTAAACCCTAAACCCCAAACCCTAAACCCTAAACCCTAAACCCTAACGCACTGGCTTTTCGATACCTCCGGGGTGAAGCCTGAAGATATGCTGTTCTAGACCCAAGAGTAACCTAGGAATAAAAAGGGTGCCCTTTTTGGTTTAAAGGGGCTGAATAAGGGAACCAGAACCCTAAAAAAGGGAATAAGGGCCTACTCTGGGTCCTAGTGTTTGAACAGAAAAGCTTTGCTTCACTGATGGCAAGGCGGATCAAAGCCCAACCTGTCTGATAGACGGCAATTGGCCGCCCGTCCTTCCAAAACACTGCAGCTGAGGGTTCGGGTTTGGATGTTAGGGTTCAGGATACTGGCAATTAGGCTCTAAGGACTCATATTTTAAGGCGTTTGGGCCCAAAGACCATACTATATAAGGCTTTTGGGCTACTTTGAGCCTTAGGGTAGGGCATTGGGCAAATTGAGGTTGGTTGAGTTTACGGCCTGAGGTGTTCACATTCTACACAGATGCCCCTTGTCTTTCAGATACCATCCAATTCCCAAAAGACTGCTCTAAGTTATTCTAAACGCCCATAATTACATACATGCGTGCATACATACATACATACATACATACGTACATACATACATACATACATACATGCATGTCGTTGCGTTGTGTTACATTGTGTTATGTTACATACATGCATACATACATACGCACGTACATACCTACATCCGTACATAAATGCCTACCGACATACATGCATAAACATACACGTGCACACACACATATACACACACACACACGTATACATATGCATACACATGTACACGTACATGTATATATACAGTAGATATACGAGTATATGCAAACATACATACATACATCCATCCATCCATCCATCCATCCATCCATCCATCCATACATACATACATACATACACACATATATATATATATATATATATATATACATACATGTATATCATGTAGACATACATGTTTATTTTGACCTCAATATATATATATATATATATATATATATATATATATATATATATATATATATATATATATATATATATATATATATATATATATATACATATATACATATATATATATACATATACATATATATATATGTATATGTTATATGTGTGTGTATGTATAAGCATACGCATATGTATGCGTACATGTACTTGTATATGTCGGCGCATGTGTTTATCTATATGCGAGCATATGCATATCTACACCTACACCTATATCTGTATCTAGGCTTATGCCTATGTCTATATCTATACCTTCATATATGCAACATTCTGCATGTGACTCGGCTACACTCGCTCCTGCAAGGTGGCTCCCTTGAGGATGGTGGGCCAATCGTAGTCGTCCGCCTGCAGCACCAGCAGCTGCACCTGCTGCAAGGAGTAAGGCATCCCCACCCCTGACCCCCTACACTATCCCCTAATTAAGGAATATACCTTAAACCATATAAGGGATCCTGCTATAATTTAAGGTATATTCCTTAAGTAAGGGATATTGGGGTCTCTACGTACATAGTATAGTGACCTGAATAATTAGTAATTATAGCAAGGAGCCCCCAACATAGTATTGGTCATTATTTAGGCCCCTATAGTAACCCTAAGCCCTGTTTCTGGGGTCTGGCGGGGTCACATGGTGCAGGGTTGAAAGGCCCTGCAAAGATTTCTTGAAGCTAGTGCGGCCTTCTTTGCTTTCCTTTGACCCTCCTCGAAAATTCGAGACCGTTCCCACGGGGTCCATACACAGTAGAAGCCTAAAAGTTTGGAAACCCAATAGCTTCAACCCTTAAGAGTAGTACATAGGGAATCCCAGCACTATTTGGCCTTTATTCGATTTCCAACTTTTTGGGGTTTACTGTTTACTATATTACCATTATGGAATTAGATCCCAACAGACCATCCTTATTCTGGTTTTGGCGACCTAATTCCATAATAGTGGTTTAGGAGTGGATTGGGGTTTAGGGTTTAGGGCTTAGGGATTATGGTTTAGGCTTTAGGGTTTAGGGTCTCTAGGGACCCTCTTGCTTTATAAGCATCCACGAGCAAATGAGGTGCACACTAGGGCAGGCGTGTTGAGGAAGTGATGCTCTTCAGTGGAACGCCTAAATCCGCTCTAGACTCTAATTGAACCGTCGAAAACTCGCAAGACCCAACAACGGAGCCAGATAAGTTCTCCACGATGGCAGTGGTTTAAAAGACACCTATAGGTAACCTGCTTTGTCTCTAGGTTGTTCCCAGGCCCGATGACGACGAAGATGCAACTGAAGCCACCACTGCCGAATCCTGCTCAACGCCGAACGACATGAACCTACCGGAGCCAGGAAGCAGCAGCCCCACAGGCTCAAAAAAAGAAAGGACCGGGCTTCGCATAATTCCTCTTCTCAAATCCTTCCGGCGAAATCATTCACGTAGGAGCCTTATTACTATTAATAGGGTTGGGGGGGTTCGATATTACATATATATATATATATATATATATATATATAATATACCCCCAAAAAACAATTATTAAGGCCCCTATACTACCTCACAGTCTCGTCCTGCAGATTTCACCGGCCTACATTCAATCTTTTCGACCGTATATTGAGGACCGGGTACCGGCTTCTGCGTAGTTTGCGCGGAAGTAGCACCAGAGGCTGCTCTAGAGAAGGGATTCCACATGGCGCTTCACAAGATGGCAGGCAGCTTGAGATCGTGCGGCTGCAAGACCTTGAGGACTTCCTGGTTCATCGAGGTTTGGAGCCTAAGGGGTTCAGGGTTTGAGGTTTGGGGTCCTGCTTGATCGGGGGTTTGGAGTTTAAGGGGTTCAGGGTTGGGGATGTGGGGTTCAGGGGCATCAGCCCTGCTTTACGCTACAGGTTTAGAGTGGATTCACTGCGCGGCGTCGCGTCCGACACCGAATCCCCTGGCTCTCAACAAGCCTGAAAGCCCCGACCCGTGACAAAAACCCAAAGTCCTAAAGACCAAAAGCCCGCTGAGAGCCTCCCGAACACTTGAAACACCTACCCGCGGAAGCCCTCTACCCGCCCTTACCCCTTGAACTCATCAAAGCCCTGGGCAACAACAACCTTACGCCACTTAAACCCCCTTACACCCGCCGGAACAAAAATACATGTATGCCCTAAACCCTAAACCCCTAAACTTTCCCTAAACCCTAAACCCCTAAACCCCTAAACCCTAAACCACTACAACCCTAAACCCCTAAAACCCTAAACCCTAAACCGCCGTATAAGCCCTAAGCCTCGCAAGCAACCCTGAGGAACCCAGTAGGGAACCCCGTAGCAGCGAGTGAGAAGCAAATACACCCATATGCAATCTAATACGGTTTATGGTTCAGAGCTTAAGGTTTAGTATATGGTTTATGGTTTAGAGTTTTTAACCCAGATAACACCCCATAAACCACAAACCTTATAGAACCCTCTCCTCTAGACCTTTATTTATCGGGCTTTACAAAAGCCTGTCAACAAAAAGCCTTGACCACCTTAACCTCCCTAGGATACCCAGTAACCTAAGAATAAAAAGGCCTCTCTTTTTGGTATTGGGTAACTTTATAAGGAACCTAGGACTACAAAAAGGGAATAAGGGCACTACTGGGCATCCTAGCTCCTGTGGATATCCGAGGGCCGGGACGCTGAGGATGGCTCTGCTGGTCGCAGGGGAGAACATCTGAGGAACAACCTGCGGTCCAGGACCCTCCTTGTACCCTCAAATAGGGGTATATGGTCCCAAATAAGGGGCATTTAGGGTGTAATAGAGGGTAGATGGAGGGTCTAGGGCCTAGGGTAGCGATTACATATCGGGTTTAGGGTTTGGGGTTTCGGGTTTGAGGGGTTAATGTTTAGGTGCTTAGGGTTAGGGGTTTAGGTATGAGGGTTGGAGTTGCCACTATAGAGGGCCTGAATGAATAACTAGAACTGAATAGGGTTGTGGGGTATGTTGTACCGTTGGTACCAGTAACTAGTCGTGCGTCAATGCTATAGTCTAATGGTGTGGGTCCTCGTTGGGGACTGATGAGGGGGAGGGTGTAGGGGCTGAGGGGGTTTATAGGATCCTTAGAGCATGCTCGAATAAAAAGGTCTGAACTTATCGTGATAATACTGGGATATAGTCACTAATACGATCACTATGTATGATCTAATCATGCTATACGAAAGTATACCACCATTTACCCCAGGGTCTTATCCAACTATGAGAACTCCCACGCTACATTCAGATTACATATAGCCTTCCTATGCTGTTTCCGGCACCCTTCCCCAAAACCCCAAGCCCTGGACTGATAGCGATTTAGGGTTTAGCGTCTAGGCTAGGGGAATTAGTTATTACTTAGGCACGGCCCCTTACCGTAAGAGTCTATAATAGGGCTGCTATTAAGGTCCTAATATATCTATATTATGAATATTATTCAACTATTACTGAGTGGGGGCCGTACCTAAGTTATTACTGTTGTTGTTCGTAAAACTTTCGCTATTATCCTACTAGTATTATGCATATTATCATTCGACTGGCGGCTGTTCTCATTCAGGTAGTTGTTATCTACTTCCGATTTACCTTGATGGTAAGTAAGACGGGTTACCCTGACATAAACCCGTAGACCCGTGCTACGAGTGCTAGTTGTCATTGCTCCTGGGCCACTGGGGCTCTATAAAGCAAACAAAGAACATGATTCGTAAGGAACCCAAAAAAACCGAGCCGGGTGGGACCTCCGGACTCACATCCAGAACCCTGAAACTCCAAAACCCTGAACGATGCCCCAAGAAACGCCAACCCCAAACCCAAACATTAAAAGCAACAACAAAATCCTAAACTAAAGCCCTAACCCACCCACCCCCTCCACAAAAAAGGAGCACCAAAAACAAAGCCCGGTGGGACCTCGGGGCTCTCCGACTCTGGAAGGTGGAGTGATGCAACGCTGGATGAGACCTGGCTGTTGAAGCTTGGTCGTTTGAGGCTTTTGGGTGTTGGGGCTTGGGGTTTTGAAGACTTTTTTGCTTAGTAAGGGTATTGGGGTTTGAGGTTTCAAGGGGTTTAAGGCTTGAGGTTTCTTTGATTGCTCGTAAGTTTTTTTGGTTTAGGGTTGATTTTGGTGGTGGGCCTGTGGGTTTAAGGTTCAAGTGTCGGGTATATAGCGTTTAAGAGTCTTTGTCAGAGTGTGACGTTTCTGTTCTTTCTGGCCGGCGATGTCTTGCGCGGCGTCTGGGTTCGTGGCTTCTGCTGAGAACATGGGCCTTCGGCAAAGAGATAGGGAGTCGTCTTCCTGTCAACAGCTGGGGGGCTGTGGAGTGGTAATTGCGCATCGTAGGGGGCAACTGACCCTTGCGCTGAGCTATAGCATATAGGGATTATGGTACAGTGTATGTACATATATATATATAGCTAGCCCCCCCCCCCAAGACCAACCCTGAATTCCCTAAATTCCCTAATTCCCTACCCATTGGATTTAGGAATTTCCCTAAATTCCCTAAATTCCCTAATTCCCTACCCCATGTGTTGGATTTGGGGAATTCCCTATTTCCCTAAATTCCCTAAATTCCCTAAATTCCTTAAATTCCCTAAATTCCCTAAATTCCCTAAATTCCCTAAGTCTGACCCCCATGGAGAAGATTCAATGGTTTCCGTTCATGGGTAGGGAATTTAGGGAATTTAGGGAATTTAGGGAATTTAGGGAATTTAAGGAATTTAGGGAATTTAGGGAATTTAGGGAATTTAGGGAATTTAGGGAATTCCCCAAATCCAACACATGGGGTAGGGAATTAGGGAATTTAGGGAATTTAGGGAAATTAGGGAATTTAGGGAATTCCCTAAATCCAACACATGGTCCGGGCTGGGAGTCAGGAATGTTAGGGAATGCGCTAAAACCAACACATGGGGCTGGATTTTAGGGTATGTAAAGACTTTAGGGATTTAGGGAGTCTGCAGGAACTCACGCATTCTGTAAATTCGAGGCATGGAAGCAGTGATTAGAGAATTTAGGGAACTCGACCTCGCGACGTCGCCGGTTGACGTGTCTGTGCAACTGATACTTGTACTAATATTGATATTATTTTGAAAACTTTGAAAACTATAATACTCATACGAGTACTAGCACTTATAGTAATACTACTGGTGAAACTGATAGTATGCTAGTATGAATACTGATGTTCCCAAGAATACTTGAAATCATGTACATTGTATGAATAGTCTTGATGCGAATACTAATATACATACTATAGCTAGTATTATCGCTAGTATGAGTATTGGCTATGCATATTCGTGAAATTACTCATTCTTGGAGTACTCATATTCATGCTATTATTAGCACTAAGGCTAGTGCGAACGTGCATAATAACATGCTCATACATGAATGTTAGCATTCGTATTAATATCAGCATTGGTATGTTTTTCAGTAGTACTAGTAACTCATACGAAGTGTAACCTCAAGTTTCATATTCCGACGAATACCAACGCATGTTTTGTTCATACTAATTTTAATTCTACTACTAGTATCTACTCCTAATATTGAAAAAACTGTACTAATACCAATTTTAGAATAGATGTGAACACGAACTTTAATGTTCTTGCCAATACTAATATGCATAGTAATATTAGTTAGCATTAATGTATAGGAAAACTAATGTTCTTACGAATACTAATAATCATGTTCCCCTTTTATATTCATATAAGAATCGTCATGCCTAGATACGTACTAATGCTAGTACTCATGCTAATACGAGTATTAATACCAATACAAGCATAGGTATGAATATTCCTACGGGTATTTATGCTCATGTTCTTAACAAAATTATTCTCAGTACGAATACCGACATTAATAGTCTCTTTAGAACCATATTGATATTAATATGAGCACTAATACTTCGGCTAGTACGAACATGCATAATACTAGCAAAATTATTTGTGCTCATACAAATATAGAAAGATTATTACATACTCATATTAATATCAATACCAATATGAATTTACAAACATCATATTAATGTCAATATCGTTTTTGTAATGTATACTAAAGAATACATCAGAATAAGGCACAAGGAAATGAATGCATCAGATTGTTAAAAACTCAATGTTTTCATTTACCAATATGTACGGTCATAGTATTATACTAATATACTAATAAATTAATATATTAATATACTGAGAAACTGATATACCAATAGACCATTGTTACTAATATACCAATATACGAGTATACCCAAAAATTTTTTAATGAATATATATGTTTTGTTTATATACCAATATACTGAATATACACATATGAATACTTATACACATAATGTACTAAGACTAAGTTTTTAAAGCCCAGCCCACGTCTAATATTAATACGAATACTAACACAAACACTAACACTAACACTGCTATAGACATATATTAAATTAAACTGGAGCACTAATACTCATATTAATATTAAGACTAACACTGAGGTTGACACTGACACCAGCATCAGCACTAACAGGAACACTAATCAAACGAACAGTAATATTGGACAGATACCAGCAGCATTGTTAGAACTTCTAAAATTAGTAATGACACAAAACTAATAATAATGCTAACGCTAGCAAAAATATTAAGGTTACTGCTCACAATAATTGAGGTTAAAACTTAGAACAAAATTAAGTCAAGACCAATGTTAACACTGTTTTTTAAGACTGAAACTAATAATAAGACTT